CTCTCAGACAGTAAAATCATTGAAAGGTTAAACAATTACACTTTCTTGAAACATACTATAGTTTTCCCTTGATGTAGTTGTCCTTGCCAATCAATGATGAGAAGAATTTGTTATATTTTTCAGGTTTCCTGTGGGATCTCAAGTTGTTGGAGCTTTCATCATGCCTTGTGGTAGCTGTTCCTTCTGCTCTAAGGTAACAATACGTGGATTTGTTTCCTATAAAACCTACAATATTTGCATATCATGATGCAGTCATGCCAAATTATTTGATACCATAGTTATCTAATGAACACAGGGTCAAGATGACTTATGTGAGGATTTCTTTGCTTACAACCGAGCGAAGGGAACCCTTTATGATGGGGAAACGCGACTGTTCCTCCGCAATAGTGGTAAGGAGGCTGTTATTACTTGCAATTTTTTTCTGATTTCTATTTGAGTTTCAAAATTAAACATATGGTCTTCTCAAGCATTCAGGTCAAGCATGATTCTTCAATGCAATATGCATCAAATGTTCAATTTTCTACCTTTTTTGCTTATGCTAGTGGTTTCTCTAAGCTACTGAGCAGATGGCTTGACATGGTCCTGTAATCAGTAAAGAAGGTCTTTACTGCAATTTTTCTGAAAGTCTCACTTATCTGGGAATCAAACTGACTACTTTTATTGTAACTGTAAAGGTTGAACACACTTAGTTTGGGTTTCCACCCTATTCTTGCTGTATCACTAGTTCTTCATAGATACTACTTGTTGCATGAGAAGGAAGGCTGTGGTCTAGGAGATATTCGAAACCCATATTACCAAGTTTAAGAGAAAAAGGAGGTTTGAAAAATGTTACTTAAGAATTTACTTCTATTGAAGAATTTACTGCTCAGGAAAGAAGTATGTTAATACAGAACCTTTATTACATATGCATGAGTGTTCTTCTTCAGCATTGTAGGATGTAGATGAATGTTTCACATTGAGAAATATTTGTTTACTTGTAATAGTGTACCCCGTCATGCCAGAGTTACCTGATACCTATTGTTGTTAAGAGGTGACAAATATCTCGTGGAATTAGTCGAGGTGCACGAAAGCTGGCTCAGACACCACGGTCATCAAAAAAAAAGTACCCCGTCATGCTTTCTATTAACATTTTCAATGTTTGTAAAAAGTTATAAGTGTTCAAAAACTCCACGGGGTGGTCCCCAACTAGTTCGTGTTGAGACAATTGATTAACTGATATGTATGATGAGTATGAACGTTATGGACTATCTGAACAGCTAAGTTGGCACGTGTTCAGATTGGCTTTTTAGGATGTCTATGATTGCTGGACTAGTTATATATGAATGGAAACTTTCTAGCATTATTCATCAACTCCTGATTCTTCTCTTCAACTGTGGTTTTAAACGTTTAATTGCTTAATGTGGTTTTAAACTTTCAATTGCTTAATGTGATTAACATTACCTTATCCAAAAGAAAACTATTCATATTTTGATCTTTCAGGTAAGCCGGTGTATATGTATAGCATGGGAGGTCTAGCTGAATACTGTGTGGTTCCAGCACATGCATTGGCTGTTCTACCAAATTCATTGCCATACACAGAATCCGCCATTTTAGGATGTGCAGTTTTTACTGCCTATGGGGCTATGGCTCATGCTGCTGAGGTGCGCCCAGGTGATGCTGTTGCTGTGATTGGTATAGGAGGTGTTGGCTCAAGGTAAAAAGTTGGATCATCTTAATTTGATTTAACTATGAAAATGAATAAAACAGAATGTTTTGGGTGTCTGATATGGGCACATTATGCCTGCAGTCTGAACACTGGTGAGACTCTATATGTCTAACTAGTAACCTCTATTTTAATTCAATAATTTACTCAATGTCAAGTTCTGTTCTTCATTTTTATGCATTCGCAATTGATTTCCTTACTATACCGTGTTTCTTCTTCATACTTTATCTTTGTTCATTCTTACCTCTACTATCCTGTGGATGGGCATCTTGAGTTAAGCTTTGCTACTTTTATTCTGATTTGCTTCTGTGATTTATTACCTGAAAACGCGGTATAGCTGTCTGCAAATAGCAAGAGCATTTGGGGCGTCAGAGATTATTGCAGTAGATGTTCAAGATGAGAAATTGCAGAAAGCTAAGTTCCTTGGAGCCACTCATTGTGTAAATGCATCAAAGGTGGATGCAGTGAAGACAATCAAGGTATAGACTTCTCCCTTAACCTGTTATGTACATACTATCAAATTAACATTCAATTAACTATCAAACACCATATAGTATTTACTCAATTCTGATTTCTAGATAAAGAGGTGGGTTTGTATGCTAATATACATTAAGGCCAAGGCCCAAGAGTACATCTGTATGCGATGTGCTGTAGACTAAGTTGTGTTGACTCTTCACTTTCGATGCCACAGTTGGATTCTCAAAGAAATACACTATTTTTTGAGAATCCCACGCACCCGTTGACATTTTTGAGGAGTTTGAGCAACATCGGCTGTAGATAATTATAGGAAAATGTTGTGCAAACTGAGCAGTGAAATTATTCCAAATGAGATCTATAGGTTCTGATTGCGCAAGTTCTTGAATTTTGGCCTTGAGTTCATTGGCCAACTTGTGTATTCAAGAGGGCTGTTTCTGCACTATGTTCATGTCTAGCTTATGCATTTTCTGTGGATTTTGTTAAATCCAGTCTTCAAATCTTGTAGTATAAATTATTTGTTATTGGCGAGATGGGTTCTATACAAATGCATATGTTTAGTTCCAAGTCTAATAATTACAAGCATGAATGACAAATATATGAACTAAGAAATTGAATATTTTTTTACAATGTAAAATATTATTTGCTTAGTGTCACCCCCTCAGAAGAGGCTCGCTCACTGGCAAGGGGAAATTATGCCTTAGAACCTTGATGACGACACTTTAAATGCACATGAAGCGACGTGAAGAGGCTCGATATGTTTTGAGCCTCACTTCAATGTTGTAAGCGCGCTTTAAGTGTACCTTTGACAACACTGTTTTAATGTTTTGATTTAAGTGACAAACTTATGGGTAAAACCAGTATAATAGAGAATGGCGACTTTCAGGTGATTAATGGTGAGGCTGTCCTAATAAACTAGTGCTATTACTACTATTGGTATATGTTTTCTTTTGTTTTTATTAACCAGCTGAACAAAATATGAGTTGCACCTATCACGGTCCAATAATAAAGGAAAGCTTGTGCTTTTAATACTAGTTCGTTGGATTTTGTTTATTAGTATCTGAATTTTCCTTCTAGCACTCTGATATGTCTTACATGTGCATTTATTGGGAGATTTTGCCCATAGCTAATTGCTTTTTAGGTTGTTAAAATGGAGTCTTCTTCTGATCAAATGTTTGGCTTGCATTTGAGAACATACCGACTGCTTAAACTAATATGATAAGCTATTCAACTTGTACAGGACATCACAGGAGGCTATGGTGTTGACATAGCTGTTGAAGCTTTGGGGAGACCACAAACATTCTTGCAGTGTGTGCAAAGCGTTCGCGATGGAGGAAAAGCTGTGATGATTGGACTTACACTATCTGGTGCTAAGGGGGAGGTGGATATTAACCACCTAGTGCGACGACAGGTATGTGCTTTTGTGTGTTTTATTGCTTGTCCCTCTCAATTCCAATCTGCTAACACCGATGATCCATTCCCTCTTTTTGATATGTCAAATTGTTTTGCATTCAAAGAAATAGGCACATACTTCTTCTTTTATAAAGGTAAAGTTTTATTAAAGAAGTACTAAACTGGTACATAGAGATATATCAGAAGCAGACAATGCCTACAGAAATAACATCCAGTTACATTTTTCCTAGCAAACCTAAGGAAACCCATGTACTTATCTATACTTCCCTCTAAGAACCTCTTAAACCCATAGAAAATAGACTTTGGAGACGAGTGAGATGTGATTCTTTTTGTTTTCAAAACAACCATTTTCCCCTTCTCTCCCAGATACTGGAATGGTCCTCCATATTTTCTTCTTATTCCCTGCTATCTTTTACCCTTGCCAACTGACTAGTAGGCTTCTTATATCTGAAGGCATAACCCAAGCAACCCCACACCGGTTTAGGAACAGCTCCCAGCATTGCTTAGCAATTATACAGTGAATAAACAGATGATTAACAGATTCCAATCCATTTTCTCATAAATAGCACTTGTTACTTAAAGTGAAGCCTCTCCTTTGTAGATTATCTTGGGTTAAACAAGACTCTTTGATGACAATCCACCCAAAACAGGCCACATGATAGGCGCTTTGGTATCCCATAACATTTCCATGGCGAATTTTCTTCACAATTATCAGCCTGTTTGTGGGAGAATATCATAGCAGCTTCTGACAGAATATTGCTTGCCGTCCAAACTATGCAGTTCTCTTTATCTTCTTCTACCATTGATCCAATAATTGAAGTGATTGCCCTACTTAATTCCAATTCCCAATCATTAAAATCTCTCGTAAAATTCTGCTGCTAGACATTTTAAGAGTGACTCAGCAGCACTTCTTTGTACTTTTCAAAACATGAACTTCTGTAAGAATGAAGATATTAAGGGGTAAATATGGCTTGCCTAGGCCTAGTCTGTGGTCTGTTAGTAAATGCCATACTGATATATACTAGTAAAGTTTTTAATTCTATAAAAAAAGGTTTAAATAGTCTTTCATTTATTGTATTGGAATATGAAAATCCATATTATGTTTAGGTACTATTAATATTTTTCTGAGCACTATTGTGTTTTCTTATTTGAATATAAGCAGCTTTTTCTCACTGCTGATATTGTGATGCTAGATAAAAGTAATTGGCTCTTATGGAGCCAGAGCAAGACAAGATCTCCCTAAGCTGATTAAACTTGCCGAAAGTGGCATATTCAATCTATCTGCTGCTGTTTCAAGGACCTGCAAATTTGAAGACGCTCCACAGGCATACAAAGATCTTGATCAGGGAACCATTACTGGACGCGCTGTTGTTGAAATAATGTAATTTGATATTTACAGCAAGCTCATCACTCATTTGACATTCGTGTAAACTTCTGTTTCTGGTGGTCTAGTGCCAGCAAATGTTACTGTTGGCATTAAATGAAGCAAACCTGTAAATATGTGTCGAAAAGTAATAAAACTAATTTTGAAACAGGGGTTCCCAAAACGTTATTCTCAGAAATCTTGCCGGTGTAATATAGCTTTTAATCTCAAATTTGATTACGCTTCATGGTGATTAGTGTACCTCTGTAAGATTAAACATGTTAAAAGACACCTTTTTCCGCACTATGTACGCCCTCACTGGACGCTGTAGATAACCTTAAGAAGTGGTAGAGAAGTGCAACTATATCTTGAATGAGAAGCACACAAACTGAAAAACCTTCCTCCAGATTGTTGTTGATAACATCAATAATTCTTTCTCTGAAAGGTAATAGGAAAAAAAATTGACCGTGAAGCAGTGGAGGCCTCTGAATTATTTTCTACGCATCAATTCAAGCACCAAGTGCAAAATACATATCTATTTGGAACAATACTAAACGTTAATAGCTTCTACAACTAACGAACAAAATCATACTGAGAGACTACTGTTGCTACTTGCTCTTGGTAGAAATCAGTGTTACAGACATTGTTAATAGCCTCTACTTCAATTAGCTTAAAATGGTACTTCCATGTATAAAACTGCAAGTCTTCCACCATAACACAATGATCAAATGTCGATAACCAAAATTATTAAAGGAACATCCTAATGTTAGAACCAGCCAATGAACATCATATACAAAATTGGAACAGTAACCTTTCATCTGTACCATAATCACAGAAATGAAAAAGAACCAAATTTCATTCCTATCATTGGCCAGCGTTCAATTGCCAAAAATGAACTGTCATTTCAACAAAATGCAGGACAAATTTCTTTTCCCCTATATTCATCTCGGCATGATGGTTAGCTGCGACTACAATACCAATTCTGAACAACAGAGTATGTTGCCATAGTCTAACTTTCTAGGTTAGTCTTCTTTCCACTTGTTAACGTACTTCAAGAAGGCAAGAGCAGGATTATCTCCTGGTGGAGCACGGACACGTGTTGATCTCCGAACATCAGCATCGTCTGTTTCTGCCTTCTGAGCCACCTCCTTCGATCTCTTTTGAAGTTCCAAGCTGTAATAAGTTAAACCAGAGACATTTAGAGATGAAGAGGAAATCTTTGAAGATAATGATTGCAAGATAAAAGACCTCAAGAGTTCTGAAACAGATTTGGAAGACTATTCCCATATGCATTTTCAGACCATCTAGTTGGAGAGAAACAATGCATACTTTGAAGGAAAAAAGAAACATATATCTAGAATTAAGAATACATGTTTGCAAATTTGATTTTTTTGGTGTAATTGTAGTAGATTAGATGACGTGGATCAATATATGATTTTTTTATTATAAAGGTAGGCAATATATGATCTTCCTGAGTTTGTTAGGATGAGCTACTTGATTGTCTGATGTTTTATGTTAGTTGTTGAATCTTGTATGATCACGTATGAGCTTGGTACCTTACCAATAAAACTGTCCTTGACAAAAAAAACAATCATCAATTACGAAATAAACAAAATACTGAAATCCCAGAGTTGACCAACTCTACTGGGATGCCAAACATCAAAATGAAACAAATGAAAAGGAAACTCTTACACAATTATTAGACGAGGAAATGTAGATCGTTTGTGCTTTCCTGGGTTGACATGACTTACAGCCTAATGCAAACAATTTGGACAAACCACAGACCATTTTCTAAATTTTGGGTAAATTATCATATGCCCTAACCGCCTATGGATTGTATCTAGAGATTCGCAAGTTGTATGGAGTTGGGAGAGGTAGATGGAGTTTGGGGAGAAAATGAAGGAGAAACAATCAAAGCCGCTAAAAGTTGAAACGGATAAGATCTCAAGAATGCCTAGGTGTACAGAAGAAGCTATAAAGTAGAGATTAGCTTCAACGAAAACAACGCCAACAATGCATAAGGTACTGGGGAGTAAAAGTTAGTAGCACCGACATCCCTTCTAGCACAAAGAGCAAACTCATCTTTCCCTGGAGTCATGTGCTCCCAAAGACACGAGGAGGAAGAGAGAATAAAGATGATTTGAGTAAACAAAAGGAGTGAGATAATGACTCACAGAGAGACTGATCTTTATGTGTTCTATTGCCTCAAGAGTAGTGTATGTATTTAGTGATCTGTGTTGATGATATGCTCATCATATATAATAATGAAAAGAAAAGTATCAACTTGAAGAATAACCTTTTCGAATTTTCAGACCAAGGACCTAGATCGATTGATATACTTTTCAGGCATTGAGGTTTTGATGAATCGAGATAGTTCATTTCACAAAGAAAGTATGTTCTTATATTATTATTATTTTGAGAAGGAGAAAGTATGTTCTTACATTCCTGAGGAGACATGAATGAAGAATTGTAGGCCTATTCCTATTGATACTCCGATGGATCCGAAAAGGGACCCTCTGATTGTGGAAGATGTAGAAAGTAGGTAGTCAAGTTAAAGTAAGTCATTGTGACTCGACCTAACATCGATTTCCCAGTAAGTGTTGTGAGTCAGTAATTGAATTCTCCTTATGAGTCAATGGAATAAGGGTTATTTGTATTCTTCGATATAGAAAATCTACTCCAGAAAAAAAAATACTTTACGAACATCGAGGACATCAGCAGATTGAGCAGGGTTACCCTACCTCTGGATACACCATTCTAGTTAAAAGGAAATTTAGTGTCTTTGAAAAGCAAGAAACAAAATACAGTTGCAAGACCATCTGCATAAGTGAACTAAAGTTTGGAGAGAATAGTCAAATGAAACTTATTTATGATAATTAGGTGCACCTCTCTTAAATCAGTATTAAATACCAAGGGAAGATGGGTTTTATTGTGCCTCTCTTACTGTTTCTAAATAGATCATGACTACAGTTTTAACATAATTAACAGCAAATGTCATACATGTAAGCAGAAAACACACATGAAAATAGACTAATAACAGTTGCCCAGAGGATATAGCAATTCCGTAGCTTAAAGCAACACGACAAAGAGACCACCCAACCAAGTTCTCACGTGATTTTAGTATCATGGGCTCTTTCTAAGTTGCCTCCAAAATTCAAATAAAATAAAATAAAGTTCACCTCACTTTATTTTTATTTTGATAAGTTCAGCTCACCTCAGTGTAACTGTAATCCTCAAGAGTCGAGACTAATACCAACCACCAAGTTCCATTGCATGATTCTTTTTTTCGGAACTGTGGTCTCCTCCTAAGTCCCATTAAAGATTCCAAATAAAGAATTTAGGCAAATGAAAGTATTTCATCCGAAGTTCAACTCACCTTATTTTGTGGTAGAGATTTTCGAGTTGCTTTTTAAGAGCCCTCTCCCTTTCACCCTTGACATTCAGTGATCCAATCAGAGCATCAAGCTGTTACAAGGAAAAGTTGAACATCATCACAACGTAAGAGAAAACCATAAGGGAAAATGTGTTCTAGTATCTATACCTCCTCCTGGGAAGAGTAATAGCCCCACTCGACGGAATCTGAACTCTCAACAAATATTCTTCCATCACGGCGGAAAAACCAATATCTATTATAATCTCGGTCCTTTCCCAATGGATTGGTGCGTATCACTCTTTTCTCTATTTCCCGTTCAAGATATTCTTTCTGCAATGCAGACACACAAGGAACACATCTTTAACAAATACAAGTAAAAAACATTAATGTTGAGTCACAATTTGCACTGTGCAAATTGCGGACCATGAAGCCATTTCAACAGACATCTCGGTAAGAAAACTTCAGTATGTCAACTTGTCTGTTTAACATGAGACAACATGCTTGTCTGTCGAAGAAAGAGAACCAGAGAGCTAGATAGAGAGAGGAGAGGGTACTCACCCTTTGCTCCTTACTCCTGTTTTCAAGATGCTCCTTTATCTCATTCTTCCGCATTTTGTGAGCAGCTCTTTGGTCCATACTCCTGCTTTCTAACATTTCCTTCCCTTCATCCTTTATCAATTTATCAGAAGCAATCTTAGAGGAAGCATTCATCTTTGCTGTAGAATTTTTGACGTCAACCTTTCTCTTCTTAGAATTTTTCAATGAGGAGATTGTTAGCTCACTCTCACTATTAGACAGGAAGCAACAAGAGACAGAAAAACGGAAAATAAGAAACTGACATCATGAAGTTACCATCCAAATTCTAGAAAAACTTCAAGTACAAAAAAGTAAACCTGTTTTCAAATGAATGTTTTGATGGAGATGTCTGTTTGCCATTGCTACTTGGCATATCTCCATTCTCTCTGAGGTGGTTATCACTCCCAGTATCTGAGGAGTTGCCACGCCCTTTTGTTGCTTCCTTCCCATTAGACTGGATTTTCAAATGGTCTTCTCTCTTCTTCCTAGATTCTTCCAAAATTTCCTCTCTCCTTGTTGCTGCAAGTGCATACTGCTTTTCAATATCCTCATCCAACTTCTCCTTAAAATACTCTGTCTCAAGGACTCGACAGACCAGTTCACGCAAGATTGTCAATTTGGCCTGAATATCTAGAAGGCCATAGTGACCCCTCTTAATTGTTGCAACATGATTAGACAATTCAACAATACCAGTCAATTCCAAAAAATCAGACAAATACTCTGTCCAGGTGACTAAAGTAATCTGGGAAGCAAAAAAGGGAAGGTTTAGGTAAGACAATTATCAGTGTTCAACAAAGAAATGTATAAAATAATTACTTGCATTGTAAGAGAAAAAATATCCCATTGGTGAAATATGTCAAACATATTCTGATTTATAAGTCAATTTGCAAATACATACATTGATAAATTTATCTTAATATCAGAAGTGCACGCATAAATTCAAATTTCAACTTTGAGCTTCAATTGATTCTTCTTTTTTTTTTTGGTTATCAAGTAAGGCATGTGAGCTTCAATATATTCTTTTCAGGTCATGAGCATCTTGCCTATAATGGCAAGAGGTTATATATCCATGAGAAACAGTTTTATAAAAATTAATTATGCAAAAATTATGACTAGTTGTGGCCTTGTGGGAAATACATTCAACTGTATAAAATTCAAACATTTTACATGCTTAATAAAATAACATAGATACTCAACACTATACAAATTACCGAATTCCAAGAAATATAACATAAACATATTATACAAGACAAGATATAGTCAAAACCTTAAAAAGTTAAAGAAAGAAAATACACCAATCATGGCAAACGCGTGCAAGGGCATGAAATCCCCCACCCACCCAGCATCGAGCCATTGGAGAATTAGCCCTTGAGATTCTCTCCCTCCAATAGTCCCCCCCCCCCCCCCCCCCCCCCAGGATTTTTGGAGCTTGCCTCACATCAGGACAAGTTCCAACTTTTCCTTTTAAAGATATATCGATATCATCAGAGTTCACAAAATATGGTACTTAATCAGATTGTGTTACACAAGAATGTTAGTCAATCATATGTCCGGGAAAAAAACATAAATCCCTCAAGAGTTGTTTTTTAAAGAAGGTTAATCAATCATGTCAGCAAAAAACAAATCTTTCAAAAGTTGAGAATTCGTGACCTTCGAAAGAGAACATAACATGATTCAAATATTACCTTCAGCTTTGGTCTTTTCTTCTGTACAGCTATGAAATACTCACTGTTATCTTTCAAAAGAAAACGAAGAAGGGCTGAATGACATTCAGTTATGAGAACAATATTGCTGCCTTTTTGACAGACAGCCCTTTCAAAATCTTCAAGGGAGAATGGTGACAGGTGCAATAACCTGCCAAATGAGGTACAGAAATCCCAGACCATCAAGTGATCCCCTACACATTCCATTGGGACGTTAAATTCCCTGCATGGAGGAGGGCGTTCAGCCAACTGTTTATCGAACTCTGTGTATTGCACCAAAAGATCATCGATTGGATATCTAATGGACTGTGCCTTCAGTTTGTCTTCTGCATATGTCAATGCAGTGAAGACAAAGCATTAATATGGTACATGAGAAACTAGACAGCAGAAGTACGCTTCATATCATACATACCAGTTCCAACATGTGAGGATAAAGGTGGAATAAGAGGTAGCTTTCTTGAAATAAATGATTCTATTAAATTATAAAATCCCAAACATGTAACACTTACAAGTAAACATGACATTTCTAAGCCATTATAATACTTCCCAAGTAAACATTTTTTTCTTTTCAACTTTCCAAGTAAGCATAAAACATATTCAAGTTGTTGCATAACAATTTGTCAGGGAAAAGTAAGTGATGTCCAATTTGTGTATTTTTTCTTTTCAAGTTTTTCCATATGAAAAATTACTTAAATTTCATGTTTTCGTAAAACTTATAAATGTGTTGCTGAATAATGTGTCACAGCACCTGATATACCTAAGATGTTAAACTTCAAGTAAGCATGTAACATTTACAAGATCTGTAACAATTTGAAGATCTCATGCAACTTAGTTAAGTAAATATTCACATATACGAGATAGTATCCTTGATCAGTCTAGACTTTTTTTTGATGACCGTGGAGTCCGAGTCAGCTTTCACACACCTCGACTAATTCCACAAGATACTTGTCACCTCCCAGTATCAACTGGTACCAGGCCTAGTGTTTTTTTATCCCTGTTGGGATTTGAACCTGAGCCCTCATGGTTCTAAACCCACTTCATTGGCCACTAGGCCACACCTTGGGTGCAATGTAAGTATCCTTGATCAGACTTGACAATGTAAGTACCAATAAGTAGAAGAAACAACTCTATACAATAGAAAGTAAATAACAACAAGCCAACATCTATCAGCAGTACCTCTTCCTATCTCGTAGGGATCTTGGAAGCCATTCTCTTTAGCCTCCTGAATAAACAAGACTATTAGTACATGAAAGTGACAAAATTAACAGGACAGTATATAAAAAGTTACTAGAGCACTTACTCTATCTTCACTTTTCTTTCTCTTCCTATTTACAACAACCACTCCATCCTGCATAAAAAATTGGTCTTTAAGATCATCTGGGGGATCAGTTGGAATCCCATGCTTCTTTGCCAATTTTTCATGCAAGACCCAAGGAATACTACGATATGTAGATTCTCTGATAAAAGACTTCAGAAAAGCTCTACTAAATCGCAATTTGCACCTAATCAGATCTTCTTCGTCGACGGCTGTATTCTCAGGCAGTCTTTCATATTTGTCTAGCCATGCAACCTCATAACGAGTTTTCTCACCATCCTTCACAACTCTCTCGATTTTGCAGGAATATACATGATTGTTTTTCCTCCCATATAATTCACTACCTTCTGAAAGACAGCCCTGTAATTTTTGAGCAACAGCATCCCCAAGATCTTTTAAACTGAGCATACCTGCAATTCAGTCATTACCAAGAATCATCACCACAAAAAACTACAAGAGAATGAACATGTAAAAAAAACACAAGAATTGTAACACAAAAGCAAATCCAATCACATCTATATCCACATTTGTTTGAAACAGTAGCTTGCAGAATCCTTAAACCTAATAATTCTGAACCAAGAATTCAATTATGGGTAATGCTGAACTACGTTTTCTTGAGCCAAGGGTCTACTAAAAACAACCTCTCTACCTTACAGGTTTACACAAGGTAGAGGTAAGGTTTGTGTACACCCCACCCTTCCCCAAATCCCACTTGTGGAATCACACTGGGTATGTTGTTGTTGTTGCTAACTAAATTGAAAATGAGGACATAAACGAGCTTGTTAGATCATTTAAGAAAGAGAAAATTGCTGGAAATGTTTACACGAACGCAAGCGGCAAAACCATCAGTTAGTATCGAAATTTACTAATGTTCTCCACAAACTGAAGCAACACTTAAGCAAGAACATGTATAACGCAATTACACTAGCAAGTGTTCGGAGCATTGACAGGTGAGTCTTTTTTGACAAGGCATTGATAGGTGAGTCTTGAACTTTCATGATCTAGAATGTGGAAGTGTGACTAGCAATTTGGAGTTACTCCTTGTTTTTCAGCTATGTTCAATAAGTGTTCTCTCTTTACGTACTGTTTGGGACTGCTCAATGATAAGCTTGGTGTTGGTGGTTTATCTAAATTGGAAAAACCTAGTTCTAGTTTGATTAGTTTTGCACTTGATCCTTGGAGCTGGAACAAGTTGCATTTATTCCAGCAGCAAACCATGAAGTAGTGCTCTCCACTCTCAGACACAAGGCTAAAGCATGAACATGACAATATAACTACGTCAATGAAGTGCTTTGCGCTCCATTCTTGTTGGGATTCAGAAAATGCAGTGATATCAGAACCTTCAAACATAATTCTAGGACATTAAGTAATTCAACTGAAACACAAGAGAGAGCAAAACTAAAATCATCTCTAGTAGTAAAAACACCAATAGAATTTTAGTTAGGTGAGAAAACCATGTCATTCAGGAAGCTAAAAGATGCATTGACGTACTGAATTGCACATCGCGAAGAACTGGAGCCACTAGTTCCTCAGGGAACTTCTGAACTTCTTCTGCAGCTTTCTTCTCCGAAACCAAAGCTTCCTCATACGTCAAGTAATTCTTTCCTGTCAATTTGCATGTCCACACCCTATGGCGATACAGGTTTATTCGTCTCAGATATTCACTACATTTTTCAGGAAAGTAATTCTAATTAGAATAATACCACAAATAAAAGGAAAATATCATAAATTTCAATAAAAATCATGACTTTTGAAGGGTTACCTATAATCCCTAAATATCTCTTTAGTAAACCGAACTTGGAACACGAGTTCATTCGGCTTCAAATCCTTTGGTTTTTCCGCCAAAGCAAATGGCTTTCTTTTAAATAACGGCATCTCCAATCCCTGCAATATACCAAAACAACAACAAAAAAAACACAACAGAAACCCTATAAAAACCAATACATAAAAATTCCAAAAAAAAACAAAGAATACATTCACACGGCTCCCACATGCAAATATTCCAAGCCACAACATCTCTTGTACATATGCTGATGTAGCTAAAAGAGCATTACATGAAATTCCACATTAGACATACCTTATGAAATAAAGATTTTAAAATCCCAAAATAGCTGCAACAAATAAATTCACTACTGTATTCCAACAAAGATCCGACATTTATGACATTCATGCTAAGACAGTATACAAGAATTACATGTACCAAAAATCCACATGACACAAACCCTACAAAATCAGAAAAACTGAAACCCCAAAAACAGCATCGAATAAATTAACAGCTCTAGCGTGCATATATACCAAAGATACTACAGTTTTGCACCTGACACTGATGTAAATAAGCAAGCATTACATTAAAATGCATAAATCAAAAAACCCAATTACAATATTGATACATTCATCTGACTCAACAAAGAAAAAAGTGGAGAAAATACATTTCCCGCCAGTGAAGTATTCAAGATTTTGCGTTAAAATAGCAGAAATTATGAAGGAAAAAGAGGGCTTACCAGATTCAGAAGAAGATTGTGGATATGGGTTTTTTGAGATTCGGGTAGTTTTACGAGTGTTGGAAGTTGATGGTGGAAGAGAGAGGAAGGCGGTGGTGGTTTGGGACGTGTTTGCCGATACTCTCTCTCTCTCTGTTCAATTCCCTCGTCTTAGGAACACAATTTATACTAGTACTACAAGTACTATTTTTACATTTTATTTATGGGTTACTTTACTAAAATACCCCTATCACAATTGAAGTATGTATCGATTAGGGTTACGGTGAAGTGGTAAGTTCTCCTCCATCTTTAACCAACCGATCAAGGTTACAGTGAAGTGGTAAGTACTCAGTCATCCTTAACCAAAGGTCTCATATCGAGTTCCTTAGATACGGAGTCTCCTTTGTTAGAAACGTTTTACCTCCAAAGTGAGACTTCCCGACGTGAATCTGGATTTAATCGAACATCAATGTGATTGGACATCGGGCGGAAAATCGAAAAACAATAGTTTAGTATATATGTATTATTATTTGTTCAAATATGTAGGCAATATTCAAAAAAGAGTAATACACTACACATTCGTTTTAGCTTTTAACATAGCTTTATGGAGTATTGTTATTTGAAACATTCTAAGGAGATACAAAGTCTTCGTACGAAATTTATAGAAATGTCTGAATGTTAATAAAGGTGTGCATGAAGCGCATTAGGATAATTAAAGATATATATGATGGTGTTGAGATTCATATTAGAAGTGTGGGAGGTTACTTATAACACTTTTCATTTGTGGATATGGTTTTAGTCCATTTTTATCTATTTTGAGGATGGATATTTTAACGTGATGCATTAAAAAGGAAGTGTTATGGTGCATGTTATCTCCAGATAATATATTACTTATTGATGAGACATAAAGCGACATATATGAGATATTGGAGGTTTAGAGACATATCCTAGAATCAAAAGGTTTCAAGTTGGTCAGGACCAAAACTAAGTACTTAGAATGCAAATTCGGGGACATGTCCCATGAAGCGGACGTGGACGTGACACTTGACACTAGGTCATTCCCAAGAGAATAAGTTTCAAGTACCAAAGATCAGTTATCTAAGGCAATGGGGAGATTAAAGTGGATGTCACATATCAAATTAGGACAGGATTGTGACACCCAAACTTAACATAACAAGTTTTATATCGGTAAAACACAAGAGGGATGTTGGTATATAAGTAAGCAAGCCTTACTCACTAGTGATGCATCTTAAAGTTATGTGAGTCTAGGCCCAAAACGGACAATATCACTAGCGGGTTGGGGTGTTATAGGGATGGATGAAATGAAGGTTGGCATACGTTGTTGTGTGTGACAAGAATGTCCAGTCAATTCTTAAAGGTAAGTTCTATAGAGTGGTGACTAAATCGTCTATGTTATATGGGGTAGAATATTGGTCAATCAAGAACTCTCATGTCTATAAGATAAGTGCATCAGACATGAGATTATTGAAAAAGGTGTATGAGATAACTAGGAGAAATAAATTTGGGAATGAAATTATCCGAGCTACGGTGAAAGTTGCCTAAACTATCATTACTTAAAATTTATAAATAAGCTCTAAACTACTATAAATATTTATAATATATTTTAGAGCTTAAAGAGATTTTTTATTTATTTATCTAGTTGTTTGTATGTATGAAAGACAAAGCCATCCGCCCGTAAGGACATGGATGAGTGGTTAGGAGATGAGTCTCCCATGTGGGAGACCTGAGATCGAATTCAGCCTTCATTTGCTACTTAGTAATGAGCTCGTTACATCGAATTTTTGCCTAATGAGATTGACATCTCTTATGTGATTTGCGAGCTATTACATAGTGAGAAGATTATCACAAAGTGTTCAAAACAAGATCATCTTAATTAAGATTGTTCCTAAAAAAAGTGATACAATAATACTTTTGTTATAAAATCCTAAAGAATAATTAATTATATGCAAAATAAAAAATTAGAATAAGATATTTGAATCAAAAACGAAAATTACATTAAGACGTTCGAGGGACACAATCTTTTCATTTATTGACCAAACTGAATAGGATAACCATTAACAATTATATTCATATGATTTGCCAAATATGCATATCAAGAATGAAATGCTAGCAATTAGCATTTTTATAATAAAATATACCGATTACGGTAAATTGCCTAAAAAATAAAAACTAGAGTCAAGATTAATAATTAAATGTTCATTATTTATACTTAAGATTAATAATGTCACAAACTATAATATTATTTTGGCATATATCCGTCAATAAATTTCCTCGTGTTGGGTGAGAATTGTCAAATATTATATCAATTTTATTATAATTTTATGAGGATATCAAAATAAGTTAGTTACATAAAATGAATATTATTAAATCTTAATATAATAATAAATATATGTATCAAATGTACACACTCGTCATTGACATAAATTCATTATCATATCATAAATATACTATAAAAAGTATATACTGATACATCATATAACACAAGCAAAATACATCAATGTTGCCTTTTAAATTCATTGAATTTGAATATCTTTAGTTGGTAAATTATCTGAGATAATTAAGCGAGTTTCTCACTATTAAAAACATGATTTTAATAATTATTATTTAAATTAATTATTAAGTATACATGCAAATTACTCAAGGTTAAAAAATATATAATATTTAATCTTATGGATACTTATCCAAAGAAATTATATATATGTTGGTTCTTTTTTTCCTAGCTATCTCTTCTATATAATTATTTAGATAACAATTCTATATTTTCAAGTGTCTAACTGAAAAAGAAATTATTATATAACATTTGTTAACACGTTCCAGAAAAGTAAAACAAAAAACATTTAAACATAATGTATTCAATTGGAATCTACCTCAATTGAAGACTTTAAAGTAAAATTAATGGGGCTATTGATAAATTAGATCTATTATTTATTTTTTCATTTACTATATAACCATCTAAATAAAATGGTCCAAGGATAAATTCAAAAAATTCTTAAGTATCTAATTAACAATTTTGATTTTCTAAATTTATCAAAATTTAGTACTCTTAGTAGGCGTTTGGCCATTCGATACCATATCACGATATAGTATCGTGAGATGGAATCAACGTTTGGACATGCGATTTTACGTTGATTTCATCTCATGATATGGTGATTCCGTATTCTCCAAAAATCATGATATGGAATTATATGGGAATTTCATATCATGATTTGAGATATTTTAATACAAAAATTGATCCACGAGTTTATATTTTGTTAAAACAACCCCACATTTATATCTACTAACCATTTATTTCATATGTAAATAAAATTTATAATCACATCATTACTTTTTAAAATTTATTATTCTCACTGACATAAAATTTATAATCACATCATTACTTTTTAAAATTTATTATTCTCACTGACATAAAATTTATTATTCTCACCAACATATAGTCACTTTAACTTACACCAATCGATTGTTGAATAATAAATTTATTTTATGGCCTTAATAAGCGCACATTTATATTTTATGTGTAAGTTATTAGTATTTAGTTACATATTTCCTATCAACTTTGTTTAAAGAGATAATATTTATTTTATGACTTTGCATTGTCTTTGAAGCACTATTTTTATTACTCTTACAAACATTATTTTTATGAAGTGCATTCTATAATGCTTCCAATTTATTTTATGTTCACTAAACTAATATTGATGTATTTTTTATTTGATAGGATTGTGTTGGTGTGATTGATGGAACATATATAGAAGGGGAGGTTCCTAAAGCGGTGCAACAAGCATATCGTAATCGCAAAGGAAGAACATCACAAAATGTCTTATGTGCTTGTGATTTTGATATGCGATTTACATTTGTTGCTGCTGGTTGGGAAGGTACTGCACATGATAGTAAAGTATTTGAGAATGCACTTGTTGAACCAACGTCATAATTTCCATTTCCGCCATATGATAACTTTAAATTACATCCTTAGAATAAATATTATTTATGTACACAAAATTGTCGCATTTACGTCACATATGCTTTTAGTAATTCTTTATAAAATGTTTGTTGGTAGATAAATATTATGTTGTTGATGTTGGTTTTCGAAACACAAAAGGATTTTTAGCTCCATACAAAGGACTACGCTATCATTTGCAAGATTACTGAAAAGAGAGCCTCAAAATCCCATAGAACTGTTTAATTATAGGCATTCATCTCTGCGCAATGTGATTGAACGGACTTTTGTAGCTTGGAAAAATAGATTTAGAATACTGAAACAAGACATGAACCATTATGATATTGATACACAAGTGAAAATTGTCATAGCTTGTGCAATGTTACATAATTATTTGCAAGAATACCAAAGTACTGATGAAATATTTATACTCTATGAGCATGCAAATATAGTTGCGGATGATATTGACCAACAAATGGCTCAAAGTAACAATGTTGGTTCGTCTTCTCGGTCACATGATCGAGAAATGCAAGTTCAACGTGAGAAAATTGTCCGTACTATGTGGGAGTATTATATTAAAGACTAGTACACTACAATTTATGTTCAATTTTTTTTTATTAAATTAAAGTTAGATGAAACAATTACTTAAGTGGAGAACAAATAACTTTGTAATAATTTATTATGCGATTTTATAAATTTTTGTTTATTTGATAAGATTGAATAAACAATTGGGGCTATTTTAATAGTTTTACAACTTATGAAATTTTTATGTTTATGAGAAAATATACAACACAAAAATTTCATATCGCATGTCCAAACAAAACTTCAATTTCATCTCATGATACCATATCATGATTTTATATTATGAAATCATATCGCATGGCCAAATGGGCCCTTAATCTCCGTCAAATATCATAATTTGACAAAATTATAATTATTTTATTTTTAGTAAGAACTCATATTTTAAGATGTAGCGTTTAGTGCAACATTTAAGGTATATATATATTATTATTATTATATTCTATCTTTTAGTTTTTAGTGTAGCTCTTTGTGTCGTATATTTTTTTTAAAAAAAGTGATTAAGATTTTATTGATTTTTCTTGGGTCAAATTTATATAATGAATATGAATATAAATATAAATATTAAATAAGAAGTAGTATTAATTTTTTGATAAATTTAAAGGATCTCATTTATATATTTAAGGAACAAAAAAAACAAAATTGGTGATTATTAATTAATAAATAAACCTAACTTGAAACACCATTTTTGTCATTTTCTCCTCTTTTGGCACAATTAGTTCACCGTCTCCGGCAGAGTCCACATTGAGAGAGTTCACCGTCTCCGGCAATGTCGGAAATCGAATCGGCCGACGAACTTCAGCGCAGGGAGTTTGAAGAAGCTCTAGAAGTCAAATCCCTCCGTCGTATCATCAGCGCCTACCTCAAGTACACACACACTCTCTTCAATTCCTCACCCCATTTCCCCCAATTCTACAGTTAGTTGTATTAATTTATTCATAAATTTTAATAATCATCAAGCTTCCAATCGTTTTTCCTCCCTTTCCCATGTGCATTAACTTATTATTATAGTATAAATTAATCTTATTGTTCAATGCTGGAACTATATGGACCTGATACAGAGGAGATGATTCATGTAGTAATCTTACTTATTAATTTGCTCTTGTATAACACTAAGCCTCAGTTGTTCGTAAACCTATGTCTGAGAGCTACTCTTTTCTTTGGTTGCATTTGGTTTGGTAATAGATAAATATGACTAAACAAAGGTTATTCGCTTGGAATAATACTATTTTGAAATATATATTCTGATTACTTGTGTGACTTTCTGTACAGTTATCCTGAAGCTGCAGAAGAGGATGTGAAAAGATGGGAAAGGTCTCTTACAAAACTACCGCCGCATCATAAGGTGTTTGTTGTCCCTGATAGATATTTTGGTGCATGATACTTTCATTTCTGTAGTAACCTTATGATACTTGTGCTATGTGCTCTGCAGGCCCTATTGTCTCACCTTCCGTCGAAGTTTCAGAAACTGAGATGGTACATTTATATGATCAACTGACTATACTGCTAATTAGGATTAGTTGGAACTTTATATGCAATGAACTTAATTCCATTTCCTTCAAAACATTTGAAAAATTTGTGCTTGCCGAACTCCTAGAATCTTCTATTATTATTGCAAAATTTGTGATGAAATGTAACCTAACATAGCTAACCTGTTTTAGCTGTGAGACTAGCTATGCATATAGCTGTTGATGATGTGAGCAGAACTACTTCCTAGAAATGTAATTTTCCATGTCTTTCAGAGAAACCTTTTCCCCAAAGACTTGGGGGATCCTCACCCTACAAGCTAGTTTTTTGGGGTTGAGTTAGGCTCAAAATCGATTCCTTAACATGGTGTCAGGGCCAAACCCATCTCAATTCTTTGTTCACCGATGTTGGGCCCCTATATTATATTGTCCATGCTCCAATCAACGAGGTTTGAGCGTTGGGGGAGTGTTAAGAGTCCCACTTTGGATATGGTATGGGTAATTGATCTTCTTATATGGACTTGGACAATTCTCATCCTATGAACTAACTTTTGGGGTTGAGTTAGGCCCAAGATCCATTTCTTAACCAACATGAAATAAGGATATACTACAAACCATTCTTATTTTAGCAAAGAGCCAAAGAGTGAATTATTTGACCACATACTCTAGTTATATGACTCAATTTAAGTTCAACCCTATTAAATTTTATGCTACTGCACTCCATAAACCATGAATCTGACAATCTGATCACATAGTATGAGCATGTTAGTGGTGTGGGGCTGAGAAGTTAGCAAGAATTTTGTCATCCTACTTAAATATAGTTGGGGTTTGTTGATAGAAAGTCAGCTTTCTGATGCTCTCAAAAGCCATGCTGGCTCTTTCTTTTTCATTTTGATGACAGTGTCTGGATTAATTTGCATTCACCTTGCTAGTGCAATGAACCTCCTATTCCCCTCAAGCACAAGTGTGGGGTAAACCTGCTCACTAGGGCAATAGTAGATGGACTGACACTCCGTGTTCCAGTTGGAGTTTGAACCTGGGATGTTATAACACTAATGCCTCAACCACCAAGTCATCCCACCGGGGATGAACCATGTCTACATTTAAATGTGCATGTGTGCCAAGAATCCCTTTGCATTTCAGCTAAATTTTGTTCTCACTTTTCTAATATAATATTACATATGGTCCTACACCAACAACTTTGTCTTCTAATATGTAAGAATTGCAATGGTCGAAACACTTCCTAACTCTCTAGATGTCTTTTTGTGATCCAAACCAATCATTCTTTCTGTGGTGCAGGTGCATCACTGAAAATTCATATTTCATATTTGAGATGCTAAAGGTGATGAGAGGCTCTTTAACATCTTTTTTCTTGTATCCATTTGTTATTTCCATCCTATTGGGGTATCATTAATTTCTGCCATTTCATGGGCTTAAATGTAGAAAGACCAGCTTGGTTGTATGATACAATAAGTTGAGGTCCAATTGTTAACTTGCAGATGTTTGAGCCCCCTCTTGATATGAGTCAGGATGTTGATATTCGTGAAAACCAACATCTAGATGATGTGTCAGGTAGTCATCACTTTTCTAGATCAAGGAACCTTTGCTTATGTGAGTCAACGTCAACTAGTGGTGGAGTAGATTGCCACTGCTTGGCTGAACCGAGCTCTAAAGAGACCTGCAATGGGAAGTACCCGGCACCATTTAATAAGGTCTCCTTACTTCTATGAAGTTTCTGATATCTGGTGATTACCTTGTTTCTTTTATTTTAATTTTACTATGGAGTTGACCTTTGTAGATGACAACAGGAGCAAGAGGTTGATGATTGTAAGAGCCTTCCAAACCAGGACACGTTATATGCTTCTGCTTGTTGCAATGGAAAGGTAAAACACCTACCTGAAACTTCCAATCCCCCCTCTCTCTCCCCCACACACATACAAAAAAAATGCACATACACCCTGAACACCTCTAAGGAAGGTTGAAATTTCATATGTAAAGCTTTCCTGCCACTCTTTCATTAAAGAAAGAGGGCTCAAAGATATGTTATCTATGAGTTTTGAGTAGGAGAATTACACCAGGTGGGACCTTATCAAAAACCCAGGTGGGTGATAAAAAGAATAAAAATCTAATCACAAGACATGGCATATCTGTAGTTTACTGGGGACATGACCCTAGATAGGAGGATATGGAGGTCGAGGAATAGGGTAGAGGGTTAGTAGGTAGTCGAGTGTTGTCTAATTTTCAGTATTAATAATATTATTATTACTCTCCTATTATCTTATTCTTCAATTTTATCATTACTATTATTTTCTTTGCTTAGGTTATCGTATTATTTGTTGTTGCTACTGTTCTTTTGTCCTTTATTTTCATCATGATTTCTTCACTACTGTATTCCCTTTTCATACATGCTTTGAAATGCTTTACTTGAGCCGAAAGTATATTGGAAACAACCTCTCTACCTTCACAATGTAGGGGTAAGGTCAAAGTACACACCACCCTCTAAACCCCATTTATATGATTACACCGAGTACGTTGTTGTTGTAACCACAATGGTCAATCCATTCCCTCTTTTTTAATGAGAGGGGATGGTTGTCTAGTGCTAACTAGATAATTGTAATGAATGAATTTTCTATCCTCTATGGACTATAGGAATCAACATAAATAAGTACAAAATCCTTTCAAGTGAAGAAAATCATCACAGGAGTTGTGTGATACGAAAGCTCTCGATCTCGATCTCGATTAGCTTCTGTTAGTTAAATAGACACAATAAATGGTCATTTGGTAGCTGGATAGAGTTATCGAAGTATTAGTAATATGAGGATTAGTTATGAGTGAATCTATGCATTATTTTATGCAGGTATTAGTTATTTCACATTCTATCCTGCATAAAATAATACATAGATTTCCTCACAACTTATACATATATTAATTATGTGGGTTTTTAAATTGTCAACCAAACATCATATTAATTTAATACATGTATAACTTATTTCCTATCTATCTACCAAACTTCGTATAAGTTATACGGAAATTAATACATGGATAACTTGTTTCTTATCCAGCTACCAAATGACCCCTAATTGATCTGAGTGGTTTCTTGGGAAAAGACCCACACCATAAGAAATAGGTACTCATACATAGTTTGTAAAGGTTCTGAATTGATGTTTGGTAATTTGGTTGGAAAGACTAAGTACCATTATTGTTCTCTTTCTTATTGCACATGATGAACCACCTAAAGGAAAAAGGAACAGTATTATCCTCCTTTCCTCTCTCTTGTATAACTTTGTCCTTTGGCTTCCTTCTAATGACGACCTACTCTTGAGGTAGTTAATTTGATATGCCAATACTTATTTCCTTACCATCTGCGGTTTCAGGTATCCTCATCACCTCCGGAATGGTTGGACCCATCTTTGCAGCTGCATGTTCCACTGGTTGATGTGGATAAGGTATCTTGTTGTTTTTTTGTAGTGCTGTTTGAAATATGTTAAGTACCTGTCCCAGAGGGTGCATACAGGAGAGTGAGCTATTAAACTGGTTATATTTACTGCAGTAAAGTTGCACCTATTTCCTGTTTCTGCTTGTTCAGGAAAGTTGGTTCATCATGTGGGAGTTATAATTAATTCTTGTGTATCTACTTCTAGCCATGTGGGGAGGAAAGAAACATCTCTTCTCAGCTACAAAATTTATTTTGTACACGTCGTACCTAAAAAAGTCAGAGTAATTAGAAATCAGTGAAATTCCATTCTCATGTCAGGATGTACTCTAAATATGTTATATAATTTTCGTTAAAATTATTATTGGAAGGAATCCCTAATGGAGTGGAATGGATATAGAGGATTCATATTTCTGTCAACTAGATTAGTATTGAGGCAAAATTGCTCTGTTGTTCATTGTTTTAGCTAAATTGTCTTTTTCTTTGTTGTGTGCTTTTTGAATAGTTTGTTTAATTTTTGTTCCAGGTTCGTTGTATCATCAGAAACATTGTAAGAGATTGGGCCAACGAGGTAGACATAGTTCTTTATTGGCTTATACTTTCTGTCAAGTAAACTATCTAAGAAAATAAGAAAATGAAGATCAATGCTATTTCGTCTTTGTTGTACAGGGTCAAAAAGAACGTGATCAGTGTTATAGGCCCATTCTGGAAGAGCTTGAACGCCTATTTCCTAATCGATCTAATGAAAAGTTCGTCACTTCCTTTTGCAGTTTCGATTGCCTTTACTCTTAGGCTATGCGTTATTTTTGTTGTCAACTGGAAAATACTAAAATCTTAGTTCTTCTTGAGTAGTCCTCCAGCCTGTTTGGTTCCTGGCGCTGGACTTGGAAGACTTGCACTAGAAATTTCATGTCTTGGTAGGTTAGCCTAGAGTTGGAATCTTTCCATAGTCTGGTTAAGAGCCTTGTTTAACCAATATTGAACCTTGAAAACAGGTTTTGCTAGCCAAGGAAACGAATTCTCATACTACATGATGATCTGCTCCAGTTTTATTCTTAATCAGTAAGTTCTTAGGTCAGCCATTTCCTAAAGAATGTAGATCTGTGGTTCTGACCTTGCTACCTTTGTTACATCTATAGTACTCAAGCTGCTGGTGAATGGACAATCTTTCCATGGATACACAGCAATTGCAATTCGGTGTCAGACAATGATCAGCTTCGTCCCGTCTCTGTTCCAGATATTCATCCGGCTAGGTATCCATCATCTTGTGTATAGCATCTTGTGTGTTCTACTGCTCTCATCATATCATGCTTATCAAATGAATTTCTCCTTTATTGGTAATGATTTGAAGACTTCACATAACCATTGTGGGTTCAACTTGTGAAATTATCTGATATTGGATATTATTAGATCTGTGAATGTGGTGGCATGGTGAAGGCTAACTAATGACACCATTTTTAGCGGTCTGTATTGCTAATAGCAGGCTGGCAATAATATGCCGCAATAAAGTCGAGATTAGATTTTGGTTTTGTTTCACATGAGTTTTAAGTATCAGAATTTTGAGGCATAGCAGGGTCCAAACTGGAATATTTAGGAGCTAGAATAGGTTCCCCCTCACCCCACCCTCCATCTCCTTTTAATTTTTTTAAAGTAGTTAAATGAATTCTATGAGTCAATGTCTCTGCATTTAGTTGGTTATTGTAGCTTTCTTCTATAAACAATTCAAGTATGAGGTGTTAATGGTTCTCAACAGAAAGAAAAACATCTGTATGAGAAATGCTCCCAGGCCCAAATCCGGAGGTAGGTCTTAAGAAATCCTATTCCAACTTCCTCTCTTCTCTAAAAATCTCTCGGATCAACCAAACCAGTTTTCTGATATAACCCAGAACCTTTTTCCAACCTTCTCTCTCCTTAAAAGATTTTTCCGACCACTTCCCCTTTGCCGGAGATTCTGTTTCTAACAAAAAATATCAAACTGACCCTTTACCCATCAGAAAACACTCCCACCCGATTTCCGCCATAACCCAGAACTCTTCGTTCCAGTTTTCTTTCTCTTCTAGATGTCTCTTGGTCACGACCATCTTCTCCCACTCTGGATCCCCCATTCTCCTAAACCAGTGTCATTCTCTTTTCTTTCTCTCTTCTCCCTTTCTTTTCCAGATGGAGGATTGCATTTATTTTGCAGTTGGTTTAAGTCCTTCGATATTGTTAGATCGTCCGATACAACATAGTCATGGTTTGGTTGGACTAAGAGAATCGAGGATTTCATCAGGAGAGTCTCTTTTAACAGAGACACCATGGAGGATTGTCCAGATATTACACGAAGCATTGAGGGTTCAAGGAATTTTGTGAGAAGGTGGAAGAAGAAAGACAACTTTCCCGAGACATTTTTCTCTAGAAATTTCAATAGCCTTGGTCAGTACATCAGAATTTTACATTACATGAAGGAAAAGATCAGTCCTTGTCATTCTGGAAGCGGCTTTTAATGCAGGATGGGATTCTCTAGACGACAAGGTTGGCAGATTTTTAAACAGTCAGGGACCTCCAATCAATGCTGTAGGACTAAGATTGAGTTTAACAATGAACGATTTCCCATATACAGAGTCTCTCACAAGCCTTAAATGGTCTAACCAAGAAGTCATTGATGGCAAGACATTGATGAGGGGGGAACCCATTCCCATGAACACCTTGGAGATCTCCATCCTCTCAGCAATCAGGCGATCGTCCAGCTCTAGCAAGCTCATGGCTTGAACATATATGAGATGGGAGATGGCACCTTTCTCTTTGAGTTTGCTTTTTTAGAGTTACTGTTGAACAAATCATGAAGGGGAATGGTGCTGAATTTACCTGTCAAGTTTCACTGGTGGACACCATTGTACCATTGAACAAATTCATGAAGGGCCAATGGCCTGGGAAGAATTTACCCGTCAAGATTCAGTGGTGGACACCATTGTCAGGAGTTGTTGAACACAATGTTACCCAACTCATTGTTTGGCCCCAAAGGAGACCGAATAAGCAAAAACTTCAATTTAGACTTTAATGAGCCACATGAGGCTCCATTTAATGAACAGAACTCCATGGAAAATAGGAGTTCTCCATGGAAATATGGCACCAACAAAGGTTAAGTGCTTTACTTGGTTAGTTGTCAGAAAAGCATGCCTCACTCATGAGAGACTTCAGAGAAGAAAGTTTCACATTGCATCCAGGTGCTTCCTATGCTGTGAGAAAGGAGAGACAAGTAGTCATATCTTTCTTTACTGTAAATTCACCTCTCAGCTATGGTCCTTGTTCTCTGCCTAACAGAGATCAAATGGACTATGCCTGAGCATGCATCAGACCTTCTAAGCTGTTGGATTAGGGGAGGGGGTAGTAAGAGTAAGAAGAAATGGTGGAGACTAATTCCGTCATGTATCTGGTGGACAATTTGGAGGGAGAGGAATGGAAGATGTTTTGAAAACAAAGTTAACAGCATCCAGAAAGTTAAAGGAAATTGTATTGCTGCATTTTATTTTGGTGTAAAGAAATTTGTATAGAATAAGCTGAACAGCCTTAGGTTCTTTGTAAATAATTTAGGCTGTTCCTAACAACTTTTTGGAGGTCTCCAGCATGTCCTTAATGCTGAGGAATACAACTTTACCAGTTTTTTTTAAAAAGAACTCCATGGAAAATAGGTCTGCCTCTCACAGACGTTATTCTCGACTCTGAAAGAAACCGCAAAGAAATTCTTAGAAAGCTTTGCAACCTGGGAATCAGCCACCATGAATTAAGCCACATAATCTTCTCCTTCTTCTCTTTTTCATAACCACCAGGAAGCAATAAGGAACCCCAAGAGACTGAAAAGTCGAAGGATGCTGATGCCATGAGAATTGTTGAGTATAAGATGGACCATCAATCCATGCAGAACAAGATGGCACAAATTTGCAACTTATGCAAGTCTAAAAAGCAGAGCCAGTGGTCATGCAGGCACAGGAATCTCTCGAGGCTGAAGTTGGGGCCTCCAATTGGGTGAACTCCTATTCTGGATCTGAGCAACACTTATGGAGCTGCTTTTGAAGGTTGCGAGGAAGAGACACTAGTCTTACTCAGTGAACTTGACGAAAGGAAATAGATCATGGAGAAGCAAGGAGAACACAGTAAAATAAAAGACCAAGGAGCAAGGAGACTGCCAAAAATGAATTAAAGAATTTGCAATCAGAACTCAATAAAGAGGTGGAAGGGGTGAGAAGCAAGGGGAAGATTTTAAGCTTGACTTATCAACAACAAAACAACAACATACCCAGTGAAATCCCACTAGGTGGGGTCTGGGGAGGGTAGAGTGTACGCAGACCTTGCCACTACCTCGTGGAGGTAGAGAGGCTGTTTCCGGGAGACCCTCAGCTTAAGCTTGACTTATCAATGAAAGTTAATCTTTTATCTTGGAATGTTAGGGGACGTAACAAATTACCAAAAAGAAATCTTATTAAGAATTTAATGCAGAACTAGAAGACAGATATCTTTTTTTTTCAGGAGACCAAAATAGAAAAATAGGGGGATCTTATTACCAAACAATATGAGTATGTAGTGGATGAAATATGGAGTTAAAGAAGTTCAAGGTCACAATGGTGGTATTATTATACTCTTGATAGTAGAGTGTGGATTGGTGAATTAGTTGCTAAAGGCTGTTACTCAATCTCTTACCACTTTACTGAAGTTTCTGGGTCTCAACTTCTGTCGTTTTGCTGCTTCCCCAGCTCTAGAGAACAGGATTCAGCTCTTTGGCAAAGTTCCCGGCTCGAATCTAACTTCTTGGCATCCTTTACTTTGTGTATTGCTCGATCTCCGTCAAAGCAGTAGCTTTCCCATTTGTTTGGTTTTCTCGAGAGATTCTTTTCCTTGTGATTCAACCCTTTAGGATTAGTAAACCTGTTCATTCTATTCTTCCACCCTTATTCACTAATCCAGGGGTAATGCTATCTTTTCCCTTTACTAGGTTTTTTCCTTCCTCTCCAATTTTCAAATTTCACAACCTTTCTTTCCTCCTCTCCATTACAACAACACCCTCAATAACGTCTAGCTTTCCACGTCCCCTTTATCCAGCCGTTAGATCGACATCTTTTGCCAAGAATGTCTATACATATTAGGATACATGACTTACTAATCTAACCCTTAACATTGCCAGTTTCTAAAAAAAAGTTATTCCTCATCACCTGTCCCCATAAACTCACACCATTCTCATCATTCACTCTAAATGGTATGTTCCCATTGGACTCTTCTTATCCTTTCAAGATATTCCTCCATAGCTCGCACCTGTAAAGAGTGGGGTACTTTTAATCCTCCACCCCTTTCAAAACCCCATACACCTCCCTCCAAAAAATGTTCAGCTCTACCCCAAATCTCCATAACCACTTTCTCAATAGTGCCATGTTAAAGACCCTTAGATCCTTAAGTGGAACTCCAACCAACACTTTAATGCGGTGATAGTGCTCCCAAGTCCCAATTATCGAGTGAAACTTTCTTTCCCTACTTGAGCTGTTTCACAGAAAATTCCTCTGAACGCTTTCCAACTTCCCTGAAACAGTGACAAGAGTGTGTAACAAGGACATGAAATATGTGAGAATGCTTAACAATGTGCTATTAATTAACACTTCCTTTCCCCCTTTGGATTGACCTTCATGGCGGGTGTTCCAGTGTCAACGAGTTCGTAAAGAAGGTAGATGATGAGCAATAGACAAAGACAAAGGAAGGAGGAGATGGAGCTGCCCTTGCTGCCAATCTGGAAGCCTCTTTGTTGTACTAGAGTAAATGATTTAGTTCAAGCATAACTTTGTTGTGCAAAGTGCAGGATTAGGTTGGAGGAAGTGCTATAAGAGTAAAGGAGTTAGTTATTAAAAAAACCTCTGATCCGAAATGATGCATATTCTCAAAAGAAAAATACAAATTAGTCTTTGTTTGCACAGATTTTGCAATTTTAAAGTCCCCCTTAGTGAAACTCCTACCGAAGTTGACTAGATCTTATGATGTCATCATTTAATTCCATATCTCAAGTCTTCTTCTTGGTTTTCATAAAGTAAAATTTTGCTTGGTATATCGTTGCTAGATGCAGTAAGTTGAATTACGCTGTGTGTGAGAATAGTGTATGTTATACGCATCTCATTCTGTGAACCCGGCCGTTTTTAGTTCTGCAATTCACTCAATGGTTTGTATCACTTGGCTTGCTTCTATATGGCCCATTTCTAATCAATTACTTTGGAAACAGTGCAGGTATTACTGAAGGCTTTTCCATGTGTGGTGGTGATTTTGTTGAGGTTTATAGTGATCCAAGCCAAGCAGGTATGGTAGCTTGATGGCATTTTCTTGTCTGAGGAGATAGAAAATATCCGGAGGAACCATCCAGTGATGTTTTATGTAGAAATATATACGAATATGTACATTAGATTCAGGACCTTAAACAAAATATCTAATGCTTCTTATACTGACCTAGGTTATATTTTAGCTCGTACAAGGATAATGTATTTTGATATTTCATCTATACCTTGTGGAAATAAGAGCTGCAATTGGGGTATATGTGTACCTGCATCTTAATGGGCCCTAAAGTTAAGTTTTGTCCTCATCTTTCAGCTCATTAAAACCGCTCATGTTCACTGTTCATGACCTTTTGTCTTATGCTAAATATAATTAGTTGCGAAAATAATATGCTTTTTGCTTTCTTTTGTAGGCATGCATTTCTTAAGATTGATCACCATAACCAGCTATCTAGTAAAATTATCCTGCATCTATTTGGTTTTTTTCTTGGTTGTGTGTGTGTGAAGGGGGGGAGGCTGCATGACTGGTTCAAATGCAATTTGCTAAGTTCTCATCATGTGTCGTCTGCAGATATTCTAGTCATTGTTATTCATTAAATCGTAACATTTTTTTTATGATAGAAGCTATCCTCATCAGATATTAATGTGCAGGAGTTTGGGATGCAGTTGTCACTTGTTTCTTCCTAGACACTGCCCATAACATTGTGGAGTATATTGAGATTATCTCAAAAGTCCTCAAAGATGGTGGAGTAAGTAATATTGCTAAGCTTAACATATTTTTCAAAAAAAAATTGATCATTTTGTTCATCTTTTTGTGTATTTATTTTATGATGCATGATCTGCTTGCCTTGCAGGTCTGGATAAACCTGGGGCCCTTGCTTTATCATTTTGCAGATATGTATAGTCCAGAAGATGTAGGCTCTCTCTCTCTATGTAAAACCAAAAAATAGCTGCACATTTTGTATTTAATGTGGATGATATACTTGTTTTACTGCTCCTTCTCCCCCACCCTAAAAAATTCCAGGAAATGTCTATTGATCTGAGCTTGGAGGATGTGAAAAGGGTCGCTCTTCATTATGGATTTATATTCGAGGTATCCTCAGATTCGTCAGATTGTTGTCATGGCTTGCACCATATATTTGTTAGGATTGAGTGCTTCATTTTCTTATGCAGAAAGAATCAACTATTGAGACAACATATACTACAAATCTTAGGTCAATGATGCAAGTAAGTATTACATCTTTTTGTAGCTATGTGGTATTCATACTCATTTTCTCCTGTTAAGATTAAATCATGTTCCATGTCCAAGTTTGAGGCCCAATAGAGTCTATCGAACAAATACCACAAAATCTATGGACCAACACACAACGAAAAGCCTGAAAATCATGAGTTCCTGTTTTTTTGACCCCGCAACTCCCAAAAAAAAAAAACTTCAGTAACTAAATCCAATGCATACTGGTCACTCGGCCTTTTCGGCCTGACCAGAGCTAGTTTGGGTCGCAATGAAGTCAGTCGAATAAATTTAGAATTGTTAATTATGGTGACATGATCATTAAGAGTATTTTATGTTATATTTGCAATGATTCTTTCATCTTTCAACAGTAACATGATCATAGAGTTTTCTGCATAATCTCTTGACTATATACAATGTTGATTGAGTACCTTAGTTAGAAATCATTCTATAAGCAGGTGTCTCCCTCCCCTATTGAGTGGGGATGGATTGGTTCATATTATTATTATTATGATGTTGATACGATGTTTGACTGGATTTGTTTTTGGGTTTGGTGGGGGGCAGGATCAAAGGACAAAATAATTGACAAATTTATCTTGTATTAATCAGTAAATCAAACAATTGAGTATCAATTCCAAACAGTTGTTATGGGCTTCCAGCACTAAGCAATTGGGGACACCCGCTATTCCTCTCAATCCAGACTGACCACCATATACAAGCCGGGACAATCTTCCATCTCTCCTCCTTCTTACTTACCATGCCATCCTTATTCCAGCATCTTAGGACACCCGCTATGCTTCCAGGTTTCACCCATCTGATCCCTTTTAGGCATATAAACATCCTCCATAGTTGGTTTGTCCACTTGCAATGCAAAAAAAGATGGTTGATTGTCTCAGGTTGTTCCCCACATAGAAAACACTCAGCGACTAATTGATGACCCCTTTTACTTAGGTTTTCCTGTGTCAAGATTACCTCTTTTGCCAAAAGCCAGGTGAAACAGTTAACTTTGTAAGGAATCTTTGGCTTCCAAATCATCTTCCAAGACCAATCTCTTTCCTTCACCACTGATGAATTCAGCTCCTTGTATGCTGAGTTGACAGAGAACTTTCCATTCTTGTCTTTGCTCCATTCCAGTCTGTAAACAATCAATTACTAGTTACAAATTATAGCGGTCGGTAATAAACTTGACCTTTCTTAAAATAAAATAAAATTATAGCGGTTGGTAATGTCAAGCCATTAAGGATATGTTTTTGGAGCGACCAGTGAATGACAGCTCTATTATAATTGTGTGTAATCCACTGAGTAGTCAAAATGAACCATTACTAGGTCAGAGCCTCAGAGGGTTGCATTGTTGACACTTGACAGCATGGTTGGTAAGCTCTTGGTGTACCAGCTGGTTTGTCTAGTACCAATATAAGAGTACCTGTTTACAGATAATGCATCATATATTCATGATCAAAAGTACAGTACATATATATTGCTCAACAAATAATGCATCATATATTCATGATCAAAAGTACAGTGGCCTTCACTCGTTAACTCCTAGTGAAATCTAAACTTCAAAAATGAGAAATTTTCAAAGGCTATATATCAATATTTCAGTAAATTAAAGGAGCGCATTATATATTTTAAAATTCATCACTCGTTAAGTTCTAGTGAAATGAAATTTTACAGATGTGAGAACTCCGAATACTATATATCAAAACTGCAGTAAATTAAACTAGCACGTGAAGTAGTGTTGGCATATTCTGCGAAGTTTGGTTGAATTCATAGTTTGAAATCCATGCTTTATGTACTAGGATCCCTGGTGGTTTAGTGACACAATTTCTTAGATTGCAATCAGACAAATTCTCTTGTATAGTTGAGAACAATTTTGATATTATTAGATATGTGTTGTTTTACTCTTTTCCTTCCCTTTGATTGCTAACAATTTTTGTTTTGGTCTTCATATTCTCCTTTAAATTCTGACCCAAGCCCATGCTATATATTGTATGCCTTTGCCCAACATCCCCCATGAATTTATCTCTCGGACTATGGTATCATTGAGCCCAAAAACGCGCATACCATGCCAACTTGTACGGTTCCCTGTAAAGCTCTTCAGGCTTTTCTCCTTATCTGATGTAGGTTCGCTTTAAGGTGTCATGTGCACTCCTCCAAAAGGAGTAGCAGGCTGAAACTTTAGGCACGTGAAGAAGGGGTGAGTGCACATGACACTCTAGGCAAATCAACATCCGAATAGTTTATGAAAGTGAAGACCTGACACATTTCACATGGTACGCGTGTGTTTGGATCTGAGGAGCATGTTGGGACAAAACAGACAATTCATGAGATGGGCTTGGATCATACATAAATCCTCCTATTTTGTTGCATGTGCAATTGCTATACATCTACACTAAACTTTGGTCTTCTCATTGCAGAATCGATATTATGCTGCCTTCTGGACAATGCGTAAGAAAACAAAGGCGACTTTGTAGTTAAGCAACAAATAGTTTGCATCCCTGTGTTGTGGAATACCAATGAATTCACGTTGATTCACTTAGTCCTATTGAAGGCATGCATATTCAAGACTAGGAGGGCGATTTTCATAAATCTATTATTTTTAGCGTGACAGATTTAGACAAGATTTTGTTTTCTTTGATCAATGTAATGGAGATGGCATGAATGACTATTCAAATTTAAAATTGTTACTTTTGTTGCAAGAATCCTATAACTTGTGTATTGATAGAAGTTCTTCATATTGTTGATGAGAGGATACGTATTAACGTAAATCATAACAAATATTCGTGATAGTTAGGTTGCAGCAAGCTGACACTTGTAAACTAAAGCTACTATTGAGACTATTGTTGTGGATAATACTCACTTTGAGCGGCGATTAATATAGCTGTTAGAGTTTACTAAAATTGTTGTTAGTAGAGTCTATAGCGGTAACCATAATTGCTGGAAAAAGATACTTTTAGAGGCAGTTAATATTATTATTAGTTGCGACTATTGTTGCAACTAATGATAACTTTTAAAAATGTATAATATAACTATTAGTTGTTGCTAGAGTTTACTTTTGGCGGCGGTTAAAATTAGAGTGACTTTGTTGCCACTAATCCTATCTAATAGCTGCACTTTATATAACTATTCCTGGCAACTAATATAGCTTTTAGTGGCGACATTTGTTGCCACAAAAACATAGTTTTAGCGTATATAGTATTCTTATAACTTTTTGCGGCGATTAATTCGACTATCGGTGGCAACTTTATTGCCACAAAACAATTATTTTAGTAGCGGTAAATACTACTATTCGTGGCAATTGTTATACCTTTTGGCGGCGTTTGCTGTTGCCACTGAAGTATAATTTTTGCGACTGTTTATATAGTTTGATTGTAACTTTTAGCGGCGGTTAATACAACTATTCGTGGCGCCTGCTGTTGCCACTAAAACATAAGTTTAAATAAACTATTTGTAGCGACTGTTACACCTTTTAGAGGCAACATCGGTTGCCTAAAACATAATTTTTGCGGGGGTTAATAAAACTTTTCGTGGCGACTTTTATGCCTTTTCGCGGCGACTATTGTTCCACTAAAACCTACTTATTGCGGCGGTTATTAATACTATTCGTGGCGACTGTTGTACCTTTTAGCGGCGACTATTGTTGCCACTAAAACATACTTATTGCGGCGGTTATTAATACTATTGTGGCGACTGTTATGCCTTTTAGCGGCGACTGATGTTGCCACTAAAACATAATTTTTGCGGCGGTTTATATAGTTTGATTTCGTGGCGACTTTTGTTGCCGCTAAAGCTTACTTTTGCGGCGACTTTTAGCATTATTTTGGGCGACTTGTATATACCTATTAGCGGTGGTTATATAACTATTAGCGGCAACTGTTGTAGCTATTAGTAGCAATATTTGTTGCTGTTAAAATATTTTTACCAGCGTGTTCTTAACCAATAATGGCGATTGATATACTTGTTGGGTGGTAACTTTTTGCTTCTAAAACCTACCTTTAGGTCGGTTATTACAACTATTGATGAGTAGAGTTGTTGCTAAAAACATAAGCAGCGACTTATATGCCTAATAGTGGCAACTTTTGCTGCCGCTAATGCTAGGTTACTAATTTATTCTTTTAGCAGCGGTTTATATAACTTAGCGTCGACTATAGTTGTTGCTAAGACATTCTTTTTAACTTTGTTGCTGCTAATACATACTTTTAAAGAGAAGTCCCTGCTTATCTCCAATCCGTCTGAAATTTGATGAGTCCCATAAAAACAATTGAATAACTTGGTGAAAACCAAGGTCTCTACAACATCATACCTTGTAGGACAAAAAGGATTTTAGCATTCTCTTGAGACAGTTGCATTGGCCACACTTTCATCCGTTTTCATTTTTTGTCATATCAAGAGAATTCAACTTTCAGTATGACATTGAATTTGCTTTTTCCATAGCAAAGTAGTAATGATGATGAAAGAAAATTAGTAAAGTGAATAAACGGAGGATTCAACATCATAAGTAGCATTTCCCCCACTTCAGGGATTCATGGGAGAAGCCACATTACATCTAAATTATCCCTTGAGATTTAGCTTAACACCAAACAAAAGCACAGCCTTAGCAAAAGCCCGTGTTATTGAACGTTGATGAAGCAAAGCGATGACCAATCTTTTCACAAAACTAGGTGAACTTATGGAGGTAGAAATATGATCCACTATAACTTTTAACTTGATCAATTTGATGAAAGGATACAGGAGCTGTAGAAACCACTTGTGAGTAATCTGCAAAAAACATTTTCATAAAAGTGTATACTGGCTCTTCTGCCGAACAACCAAAAAAACAACTTCCAGAAACGCATGAAATGCGTCAATTATGAGAAAATCTAACAATTTAAGAACACGTCTTTTAACTGGAATCTACCTTGCATATGCCAAAAATCAAGGGAGAATTTTTTTCCTTCGACGTGGGGTCTCTCTCTTGACAAACATCTTCTCGAACTCATCAAGGGGTCGACTGGAACCATCAGGTTGACTAACGAACTTCCAGCCACCACCATTCCCACGCTTGCCACGAGATCCTAGCATCTCGACAGTGAAATTCCAGCCATCTGAAGGGCGCCTGCGGCTATACTTGTGGCATTTCACTTTTTTCGCCATCTAAAACCAAAAGCAGAACCATGTAGCCCAGAGTTAGTAAAACAGAATAACAGTACACCCAACAGATCAAAATCTTATTTTGGTGCAACAATACATCAGATCATTATGGTACACGTATTGTTTCTTGGTTCCTAGACATGCTAACCTTCATCTTGTTAAAGTTCATCCTTTGGACAAACTCTTGATACAGCATCTCATCTTCCTTCATTGATATTTCATAGTGCACCTCATCAGGATCCCTGGTAGTCCCATCCCAACCCTCGGGCATGACCTTGAAGTCGGGTTTATAAGGAAGAGTTGCAACATGGAATTCCCTGTCATGAGAATTGAAAAATCTGCAGAACAAGCAAGATTAGTATTTTCATAAATCATAACAGTTCTTCTAATGGAGTTAGCCATTTTCATGACAATTTCCAGGCGATCAGCACAAACATATTGCTAGACTAGAGCAAGCATGCATGTGCTTGCTTTCATGATGATATCACTGAAGATAAAGATGCTTGTGTCCAAGGAAAGATGTGAGACAAGCACCGCTGCATAACAGTTTGACAATGAAACCCTGAACCACGTCCATTAAACGTTGACTACTTCCAAATTTATTTTAGTGGATTTTCTAAGTTATATTTAGCTTGCGACACATACATACTAGGTTAGTAGTAAACAATTTTGTACTGGCATAAACAACATTTAATAGGTAATAATGTGAATGTGTTTATCCAACCAGCAAATAAGGAATCAGGATCCAGGAATGTGAACAATCAAATCAGATAACTATCGTGAGTCTGTAGTGATTAGTGAAGAATCATTATGGGAAAACATAAAGCAACACAAGGTTTTTCCAGGTCTTCTTGAAGGTTTTTTCTTTAATCAAGTTTAGTCCAGGTTTACTATACTACCCCTATCCTGACTCCTGAGTGTGCCTTAAATATTATGAATAGTAGGGATGATAAAAGAAAATTCATATTATATTTTTTTTTGAGAAGGCATTCATATTATATTTTGAAAAAAACAACGATATGGTATAGTGCTCTTTTGAGATTGGATCGATTAACAAGAATTTGGTAAGTATAATCCTAGATAGTTTATTATTACTACTTCTCCTTTCAAACAAAATTCAAAAAATTAAAGTAGACTAAGAATTAATTAATACTTTTAATAGTAACACAAGATTAGAGACTTGAGATATTTAGAGAACGGAAAAAGTTCAAAATGCCCTCAACATATTAGAAATGGTTCAAAAGTGCCCTCATTCTACCTATTGGATCCAATTTGCCCCTTCTTCCACCTATTGGATCAAAACTGCCCTTAACCTATTAGAAATGATTCAAATTTGCCTTCCTTCTACCTATTTGATCAAAAATGTCATTAACATATTAAAAATAACTCAAAAATATTTCCTATTTCTAATTATATACTCCCTCCATTTCAAAATAAGTGAATTGTTGAGGCAATGCACACCCATTAAGAAAAAAAAATTAGAACATAAAACAAACACCACTTTTGCCCCTTTAGTTATTCTCAAACTATTCTTGAAAATATAAATAATTCAAAGTAAAATCATAAACATGAACAATTAACTCTCTTGAAATTATCACAAAAAAGATATAAATGAGGGGCAATAATGGAAAAAAATACAACAACTCTCTTGAACTTTGAACAATTCACTTATTTTTAACTATGGAAAAAGGCTCAACTCACTTATTTTGAAATGGAGAGAGTATGTCAATAAAACAATTTACTGTAATTTAGCAATTATTTAGTTTTCTTTTGATTTGTAATTTTTTTTTTTTGAAAAATTCTTGGTTGTCTGTCTAAAACATTGTCTAGTCTAATAGAAGTACTTAATTTAAATAAACAAAATATATGAACTAACCTGTTAATTAACCCGAATGTGTGTTGTTTAAAAATATTTTCCAAGACACATAATGAGGAATTTCATTATGCGTGTATGGCTGTATGCCCATAAAAAGATAATTTTTTGTTGAGATTTTTCTTCTTTTAAGATGTTCCTTACGAAAGAGTGTAAATACAATATCACTTGACGGCAGTGTGATAGTGCAATGCCTCATTTATAGCTCTAATCCCTAAAAACAAAGGAGCCACTGAATTGAGGGATTACAAACCAATCAGCTTGACTGGCAGTGTTACAAAATTTCATCTAAACAATCTAGTCAGATCTCGCAATGACTCATTTTAAGCTCTAATCCCTAAAAAGAAAGGAGTCACTCAATTGAGGGACTACACAACAATCAACTAGATTGGCAGTATTTACATGACTGCCTCTTAAATCCTAGAGGAAAGATTAAAAAGGATGGTGAAGCTTGTATCAGGACACCAAAATGCCTTCATCAAAACAAGGCAGATCACAGATGCAGCCCTGCTAGCTAATGAAACTCTAGACTGGAAGATGAAGTCAGGGCAGCCTGGTCTACTTTTCAAACGTAACATTAAAAAGGCTTTTGACCAGCTTAATTGGACATACTTGATCAACATACTCAGGCAAATGGGATTCGGGGAATGCTGGATTAGATGGATCAAATTTTGTATCACCACAGTTAAGTACTCATTTCTGATCAAAAGGTCCTGTACAGGGAGATCCTCTTTCACCCTTCTTGTTCATCCTAGCTATGAAAGTCAAAGTAAAATGTTACACAACACTTGATGGAAGGTTTTGAGGAGGGGAATGCAGATGGCAACTATGTAAGAGACTTTTAGTAACAGTATCCCACATTCTTAATCCAACTGTTTGGTCATCTTATATAGCTGATTCAACCAGTCCCTGTAACTACTTATGAACTTTTTTCGGATTATGTCTGCTCTTTTAGTTATTTTGTAAGTTATTGTACAGGAACAAACACCTTCTTTTGTTGTAATTTTTGCCTTGCAGCATCTTCTTGATGACTTCTAATGAAATTTCCCTACTTCATCCAAAAAATAGATAAAAAGTAGATAATAAATATTTCCAGAACCCTAATGTTAATATTATAATATAATAGCTAGACCATTTATATAATAACCATATATATTCTAGAAGCATAGCTAAATACTTAGTTGGCCAAACTAGACCTTAATACACTATAGCTGATGCTACTAAGGCAGATCAGGATCTTAGCAAACTGCCACCCCCCCTCTTCCTTTTTGGAGCCCAGAGGGTAGCTTCATTTCTTGTATCCAATCTTCATGTGTACTCTGTATCGTTATTCTAAGAACTAGTACAGTCGTGACATAGACCACAATCCAGTTTTTACGACTATATTATCGATCCACTAGCTTTCGGTGTCAAAGGAATTTTGATAGTCTTCAAGAGAATGAAACAGTAGACTTCTAGCTTTATATGCCATTTCTTACACAACTTCTAAGACTACCCACCCATTGAGCACGATAGTTGGTTGTCAAAATATTTTGTTCCAGTCTTTATGCTCAGAATCGAGGTAAGAGAGACATAACTCTTCCTCAATGAGTCATGTTTTATAAGCGGGTATGGGTCATGGGTTACACTAGTTTTATGATTGTGAAGCATTTTAATGCTATCTTAAGTCAAACAATATGTTTTCAATGATTTCATATTTATGAACTATTCATTTGAAGCTAGCACATATTTGCAAACTTCTTTTTTTTATCAAGTAAATGTATTTTTTTCATTCATAAACATGGACAAACTGGCCGTCTACAAGGGAGACACATCGGTTTAATCAGAGGGTAGAGAAGAGGTTAGCAGTTTGGAAGAAAAGATACTTGTCCAAAGGAGGCAAGGAAGTGCTTATTAAGAGCACTTTATCGAGTATCCCTACATGATGCATGTCCCTGTTCAACTCTACCACCATAGTTATAGGAAGCTAGAAAGGTTGCAAAGATATTTTCTTTAGGATGCGGCAAATGAGGCAAAGAAGTTTCACTTAGTTTGATGGGAAGGTTTTTAACAAAGCACTTTTGGGTAAATGATTGTGGAGATTTGGTGTGGAGGGAGAAGCTTCATGGAGAAATGGAAGGGGGTGGAGAACAAATAGGATCACTATGCCTTTAGGTTGTGGTGTGAGGAGGAACATTATGAAAGGGTGGGAAGCCTTTGATGATAGGAGGCTAACAACAAAACACAATTAGGGATTCATTGGAATCCTCACATTTATTTGGAATTTTTCGGATGGGTCACACCAATAGGATGAACTAAATGAGTTCTGCAACATGAACTTTGTATTGCGCACATTACTTAGACGGGCTCTAGAGAGGCATATAGGAAGGAATGGAGAAATCTGGAATGAAGAAATTGAATATGAAAGAAAAGACAAACAAATGAGATAATATTGGAGTCTATTAACCATTCACTTCCAATCCTAGAAATCCCCCTTCAACCTCAAATCCCAAAACATTTCTTCCCATTGTGTCCCCTTATGTGTTGGACTATCGCCTCTGTTTGACAAGAAACCTTATAAATGCTTGGAACTCCTCTTAGCATCATATTTCCGGACTATTTATCTCCCCAGAAGCTAACTCTTCTCTCATCCCCTACCTTGAAAGAAAGATTATCATAGTATCTACCCATCCATTCATGATATTCCCCACACCCAAAAGACAACGTGATATCATTAGTTCTCCAACTCCTTCTAACACTCCATACTTGTCTACTAAGTACTATCACCTCTCTCCATAAGGATTGGAACTCCATCCCATATCCCCACAACCATTTTCCCAACAAAGCTTTGTTAAAAATCCTCAAATCTTTTACTCCCAACCCTCAACTCTTCGGAGTTGTCACCGCCTCCCATCAGACCAAATGATACTTCCTAACCCGTTCACCGAATCCCCAAAAAGTTTCTTTGAAGTCTTTCCAATTTTCTTGTAACATTGGCCGGGCATGAAACAATGACATAAAATAAGTGGGGAGGCTTGATAAAGTGCTCTAAATATGCACTTTTTAAATAGTGAAGACTATACTAAAATTTGAATTAGGCTGCAGTGTTGAAAATTACCTATCGTCTATTTGGGTTTGCCTTTTGGTGCAAAATAAAAACAAAAAGGGATATGGCAAGGCATTCTTGATAAATGTGAGAAAAAGCTATCCATGGGGGGGGGGGGGGGGGTGCATATCTATCCTTTGCGGTCAAGACTAGCGTGGATAAATAGCTATGCTTCTATGACTCTTCAAAATTCATGAAATTCATGTGGCACTTGTGTCGACACGACATGGGTGGGTATGGGATCCACACTGACTTGGTCAACTTACCCTAGGTGCTTTGATAGGGTACTTGGTTTAATTTTGGGTTTATGTCATAAACATATATAGTTATATAAAGTATGCAAATGATTTTCCATAACACAAGATATCTTATGAATAAACATTAGATGTTTATAAAGAACTAAATTTTATTAGTTTTGGTTCAATAGCTTTAATTAATCAAGATATATACTTTATATGTTGAAATATACATTTATTGGTCGTATCACAACACTCGGATCCATACCACCGGAGTTCAAGCAACATAGGTAAATATTGCTTTGGATTGTCTTCCAACCTACATGATGTCTTTTCTCTTGTCCCCATCCCAACTTGTATTGAAAAAGGAATAACAGTTTGAGAAACAATTTTCTTCGGGAGGGCAGCTCGCAAAGAAAGAAACTATACTTTGGTTCAACGGCCTGCAGTTTTGAGATGTAAAACCTCAAGCCGCACACAAAAAGCCTCCTAGGCAAAATGGCTTTGGAGATTGAATGATATTCGTGAAGCTATAAAATATGGAAAGAAGAATTCTGGTCTCCTAAACCTGCTATAAGGCCTAGCAGAGTGGCTGTGTGGAAGAACACTTGCAAATACCAGGATGAGTTTAATGAGAATATTGAACTAAAGGTGGGGAATGGCAAGAGCATCAAATTTTAGTTAGATAGATGGCTGGATATAGGGATTCTGAAAGAAGTGTTCCCTGTTTTATACAATATAGTTCTGGAATAGATGCACCTATTGCAGATTGTTTTATGCACAAGTGTGGATGGCCAGCAGTAGTGGTGTATTCATGTTAAAAGCTATTGCAATCTACTGCAAAAACAAACAGGACAATGGGAGGCTGACCGTCCATAGAAAATGAATTGGAGAATAAGAGCACCAGAAAAAAAGTCCATCTCTGGATAGACAGCAGAAAAAGAAGCATGCTTAACTCAAGATGTATCACAGAGAAGGGCTTCTATCTCTGCAACAGATGCTTTCTATGTGAAGATTCACCAAAAAAATATAGGCATCTCTTTTTGCATTGCAACTTCAAAAATTTGGACTCTTTTTAATTATATTTGAAGTTAGCTGGGTGACACCTCAAATGTGAAACACCTACTCAATTGTTGGCGGGGACAGAAAATTGATAGAGGACTAAATTCAACTTGGAAGACTATCCCAATTTGCATCATGTGGACTACTTGGAGGAAAGAAAAAATAAATGTTTTGGAAAGGGAAAAATCACATACTTCTTTTCTAAAGTACAAATGTATACAAAACTTATACTAATGATATAGGAGCAATACAATGGAAAATCCAGCATTTCTTTTGGATTTTGTAGAAAGCCTTGATGTTGTTGCCGTTGATATGCTCATGTTTTCAACTTTTATACTTTTGTGGTACCCTTTGGGTAATAAACATGAACAAAGTACCATTTTCAATAAATAATAATAGGAACATCAAACTTGGACGAAGTGATAAGTAACAACATAATCTCGAAGGATTCTAAAGGAAATGACTTCAGAATCTAATTCACTTACTCTGGGCATGTATCTAGCAAGAGCTCAACCGAGTCATCCAATGGACGCCCAAGCTTCTTCTCTTCCTCCTCCTCAAGTTCCTTCAGCCATAGAATTGCATGAACCCTCTGCCTCATGATCCTGTAATCTTTTGCTAGGCGCTCAACTGTATACAACTCTGGATTCTCCTTATGCTTCTTGTACATTTCTGTCTTCTCTGAATCCTTCAAATAAGACCCCCTTGCACCTGGCTCCATTACCTGCTCCAATAACACCAAACTTTGATAATCCATCATAGTTGGGAAGGATACTACCACTTCATACCCTTATTTGTTCATCGAGTTCTTAGTGTTGTACCAGAAACATTTCCGAATAACCAAAAAGAAAGTTACTTTCTCCCAATCCCATTTTATATGCTAGTGAAAAGAAATTCTTTAAGACTGCGAAAGACTACAACAAGAAAGTATGGTTTGCAATATTACAACATATGTTATTTCTCAAAAGTAAAACTTTATCTTCAAAAAAACTTCAAATTAGCCCAAAAATAAAAATTAAACAATCTAACCCCTGTACATTGAACCACAATGAATCTTGGGAACAAAGCAAATACAGTACATTATCTCTAATCAATCTAGACCATACATGCCTACAGAATTATCAAAATTCTGGTTCATAACTAGAAAGCTTCACATTACTTCTTATGGTGGCTGGGCTTCAGACAAGAGGTTATATTGTGTGGTTGGGCAATAACAGTGGCACTTTCAAGGTTAACGCAACTTACAGAATGATGAACCACCCCAATCTACAATTAAACAGCTGGCCTAGGAATTGGAAAACAAAAATATCACATAAAGTAGCTTGCTTTCTGTGAGGCTACTAGCTAAGGGAGCAGGCATTACACATGATAGTTTGATGAGGAGAGGGATCCCATTATGTTCCAGATGTTTCTTTTGAGGTGAAAAGGCAGAGACTGTTAATCATCTATTCCTACATTGCAAGACCACAACACAACTTTGGATAATATTCTTAAATATCAAAGGCATTTCATGGACTGTGCCTGGAAAGGTTTCAGAAGCACTTAACCGAGAATTGGGAGGAGGCAGGTCTACCGGCAAAAGACAGAAGTAGATGGAGAATTGTTCTTGCCTGCATCTGGTTGACAATTTGGAAGGAGGGGAAGTCTAGATATTTAGAGAATGTAGAGAATAGTACGCAGAGTACCAAGTTGAATACTACCTTCTTCTTTTTTATATAATGAGAAGTTGAATAGTATCTTGATCCTGTGTTTTTGGTGTAATCAGTTAAACTCAAACGATAAAGACCTTACTTGAACAGGATGTGTTCTATAGGCTCGTACCACAGTATCCTTGAGTTCTATAGAGACAGTAAACCAAGTTTGGTAGATGAACTGTTCCATGAGACTAGAGCATAGCATGATTAACAGCCTCATTGTGCGAGGCAGTTTCGGAAGACCCTTGCCTCAAGAAAAGCGTTCTCATAAACCGGTATGGAAAAATATGAGAGTGAAGCAATGGTGAAAATACTGAGGAAATGAGAGAATAAGCAAAAATTGTAGGATAACCAAAGATAATACTAGAATAATACTAATAGTACTGATAAGGAGAAGGGGGAGCATTAAAAACTCACATTTTAATGGATCAGTTTATCTTTGAAGGTTCACCCAAGACAAAAAGGATGGCTCGGCTCCCACCAACTTATTGTAGTAAGTATGTACCAAGTGGAAGTTTCTTTCAAAGGTCTTCTATGATTTGAGAGTCATAATCAGCATTAACTGATAAAGCTAGACTAGAAATCTTACATTTCAATGAATTGATTTATCTTAGACGGTTCAACCAAAATAAAAGGGATGGCTCGACTCCCACTTTTGGAGTGACTAGTTGATTTATAAAGTTGAACATATATGTTTCATTGAAGCTGAAAATAGAAAGATAGCAAAATATACACTCCATTGAAAATTAATCAGTAGTAGGCACAGAAGACCTTAAAATCAAATGAATATCCAAATTAGAATTCTTGAAGGTGACAATATCATGCTGCATAGTCAGTTTACTGAGGATGAAATAAAGGATTGTGTCATGGCATGTGCTGGGGACAAAGCTCCAGGCCCTGATGGGTACACTATGGCTTTCTTCATTACATGTTGGGAGGTAGTTAGAAAAGAGGTAGTTGCAGCTATCCAAAACTTCCATGATCATGGTATTTTTGAGAGAAGTTTTAATGCTACCTTCATAGCATTGATTCCAAAAAGATAGGGGCTAAGGAGTTGACGGATTTTAGACCTATTAGTCTAATAGGGAGCCTATATAAGATCATTTCAAAAGTTTTTTTTTTTATGACAAGGGAAACCCGCAGTCGCTACCCTTTTGGTGCGCACAGGGTAAGATCATTTTCAAAAGTTTTAACCATAAGACTTAAGAAAGTGGTCTATAATCTGGTGGATGCCCGACAAATGGCCTTCATAAAAGGTAGGCAGGTCATGGATGCAATTTTGATTGCAAATGAATGTGTGGAGGAGAGAAAGAACAGTAAGGTGCCAGGTATTTTATGCAAATTCGATATTGAAAAAGCCTACGACCACTTGCATTGGGGCTTCCTCTGGAAGTCTTTGGAAAACATGGGCTTTGGAGGAAAATGGCTAAAATGGATTAAGTTTTGCACTACAACTGTGAAGTTCTCTATTTTGATAAATGGTGCCCCCTCTGGTTTTTTCTCATCAGAGAGAGGACTGAGACAAGGAGATCCTTTATCTCCTTTCCTCTTTATCCTGGCGATGGAGGGCCTAAATGACATGCTCAGAACAGCCCAAACAAGAGGATGGATAAGAGGATTCAATGCTAATATGAATAACAAACAAGGTCTGGCAATCTCCCACTTACAGTATGCTGATGACACATTGATATTTTGTGATGCAGACAACTCTCAACTAAAGTACTTGAGTGTAATTCTGATCCTTTTTGAAGCCATCTCAGGCCTACACATAAATTGGGGAAAGAGCTTCATCTTTACTGTCAATGAGGTGCCTAGGATAAACATGCTTGCAAATATTCTAGGGGGGAAGGTAGGGGATCTCCCCACAACATACCTTGGCATGCCTTTGGGTGACAAGAGCAGGTCAAAAGGTATCTAGAACAACATTCTAGAAAAGTGTGAGAAGAAGCTGGTGAACTGGAAGAGTCAATATTTGTCCTTGGGAGGAAGAGTCACACTCATCAACAGTGTGCTAGATGCTCTACCCACATATATGATGTCTGTTTTCCATATGCCTGCAAATGTGATTGACAGAATGGATGCAATTAGGAGAAATTTTTTGTGGCAAGGAAATTGTGATCCTAATAATCATAAATTCCATCTAGTGAAGTGGGACCAAGTCATTCTCAGCAAAAAGGAAGTTGGTTTGGGGATTAGGAATCTGAAAATCCAAAATCAAAGCTTACTTATGAAGTGGTTATGGAGATTTGCCTCACAAGAACAAGCTCCCTATTTCAAAAAAAAAGAACAAGCTCTCTGGAAGGAAACAATAAAGGCTAGGTTTGGTATGGAGAATTTGTGGATCACCAACCTGTCCACACAACCCTATGGATCTGGAGTATGGAGATCCATCCGAAATTTATGGATCAAATTCTATAACAAATGCAAAATCAAGGTAGGGAATGGTGGAAGGACTTTGTTCTGGGAAGACAAATGGGTGGATCATGTGACTTTGAGAATAGGTTCCCTATTTTGTTCAACATGAGCCTTCAAAAAGAGGCTACAATCAGAGAAATGAGAGATAATCAAGGGTGGGATCTAAGGTTTAGAAGACATCTAAATGATTGGGAGGTCAATAAAATAGTTAAGCTACTCAACATTCTAGGGCAGTGCAAAGATCTAAACACAAATGAGGACAATCTATTTTGGAATCCAGATGAGCAAGGCAGATTTTCAGTTGGCTCGGCTTATAGAAGCTCACAAAGACCTGGTACTCATATAGGTGGATGGCCTTGGAAGATGATTTGGAAAGTCAAGATACCATTCAAGATAGCATGTTTCACTTGGTTGTTAGCCAATCAGGCTACACTCACTCAACACAACCTCATGAAAAGAGGCATGCAAATCTGTTCCAGGTGTTGGTTTTGTGAATGTGAGGTCGAGACAATAAATCATCTCTTTCTACATTGTAGAGAGACTGTGAAGTTGTGGCAGATTTTCATCAACTTAAAGGGCATCAGTTGGACTATGTCAAGGAACATCAAAGAAGCTCTAGCTTGCTGGGACAGAGATGGGAATCATTCAGGACACAGGGAGAGATGGACGATTGTCCCTGCCTACATTTGGTGGTCTATATGGATGGAGAGGAACCTGAGATGTTTTAAAAACAAGAGCTGCTCTATGCAGAATTTGAAGTTGAATTGCCTGGTTCTTTTCTTTTTTTGGTGTAAACATGAATATCCTCAAGATGCAGAGGATATTCCTAGTATTTTAGAGTTCTTATGACCTCCATAGGAGTTCTTTGTTTTTTGCAACTTTTGGATGTAAGTATTACTAGAATACTCCTTATGTATTCTTTTGTTTAAAATACAAGTTACCTTTCTCAAAAAAACATATATTAATTTCCATTAAAAAGTTTATAAGGCAAAATTGGAAGCAAATAAAGTTCGAAAATAGCAATTGACAGGAATGAGAAGAAGATTGGATCTATGCTAAGAATGGAACGGAAGGGGAGAACACACTCAAATATTGAGGATCATATTATTCGAACTTCTGAGGAGTCGAAGAGATTAGTATGCTAGGAAAAAATGTTTGACTCATGAGGCAATGCAGAAGAGGCGCATCAACATAGTAACCAGATGTCTCCTTTGTAAAGAAGCTCTGGAGACTAACAAACACTTATTCATGCACTATAACGTAACTGCTCAGGTGTGGGCCCTGTTTACAAGCATAGCCAATGAATATTGGACTATGCATGAACACACCTCTGACCTTCTTAGTTGCTGGATCAAAAAGGGAGGCAGCAAAAGTCAGAAAAGATGGTGGAGAACAGTTCTAGCATGTATCTGGTGGATTATATGGAAAGAAAGGAATCAAAGAATTTTTGAAGGAAAGGAGTGTACAATACAGAAGATCAAATGGAAAGTAATTACTACTTTAGGTTTTTGGTGTAAAGAACAGGATATAGAAGAGGAGTTCCAATTAGTGGACTTCATAGGTTCTCTGTAAGTATTTCTTTTTAGTCTTTTCCCTTTCTTGTAACAGTTTTTTGGAGGTGACCAGCATAGCCCTTAATGCTGAGGAATACAAAAAGTTACCAGTTTCAAAAAAAATAAAAATACGTGACATTAATTTTCATATAGAATCCCTTGGGTGCATAAAATGACCTTTCTAGCAATGTACCCCGTGTATTAGTCGAGGTGCAAGCAATGCCACGTGCTAGTTAGGACACTACCGTTATAAAAGATCAATAAACAAAAATGTTCCTCCAATTTGGTGCAGATGGACTTCCAATGGCAGCCTAAACTTCTTGTATTAGTCTATAGAGTTAAGTCGGGAAATTATTAGCATAAGCTACAATACATATAGAACAAAGACAAGGTGATATAATTTTGATGCACGCAAACACACACATCCACGATTTCATAGCTGTTATAGTTCTTTCAGAGGAATAACATTGATAATACTATTAAACATACCGCTTTCCTATCCAGCCTAGGCAATGAAAAGCTTCCATATAATTACCAAGAAAATACTAAGTAACAGAAAATACAACTACAACTTAGATTCAAACCGATTAGCATTGGCAACCCAAGAAGTAACAACACCAGTAGAAACACCTAACAAATTCTCAGCACAAGATTCAAATCAATAGGTGTACACCGATCAACATTTCGGGAAGGCACAAAGGAATTGTCAGATATATCCTTCGCAGTACCATATCTTGATTTCTCAATATCATTCTAGTAAAGCATAATCTGTAAATTCTAATCAGCCTGTACACTATACATTACTCATACTAACATTATAGTTTCTAACTAAAACTACAAGCAATTAAATCCCAAAAAACAAAAGCATTACAGGAAGAAATATTTAAGCTAATAGATGTTTGCACTACTTACTCAGTTAAGAGCTCATTATCATGTAATTTTCTACACTATTCATGAGTTAATATGCAGTAAAAGGGCATTACACTGCAATGTATATTAGTTAAATAAGAAGAGAAGTCAGTTTAATTTGTGTCACCTGCTTCATCAAAACGCTCATATCCTTCATCCTCTCATCCCATCCATCAACAAAAGCTTTCCCTTTTCGATTCTCAGCATGAAGCTCCTTAACTTTATCCATTTCTTCATCAGTCCATCTAGCTGAACCAAACCCACCAGACGACGGTGCAGATCGTGCATTGGGTTCCGAACCCATTTGTCGGCCCACAACTTCTCCATCAAAATGCTCCTTGGTTAACCCAGTAGACCATGAATTTGAACCCGCATCCCAACCCAAATCTTCTGTAGAACCAGTACCACCGAAATTTGCACTCCAATCATTTCCAGTAGAAAAGGGCTTCACAAAATTGAAGTTTTTCAAGGATTTACCAGCTGAGTTTTGCGAGAATTTTGTTAAGATTCGTTGAAAAGCTCGCATTTCTGAAAGTTTCAGTAACAGCGAAGGAGGAGTTTGAACCCTATTAAAACCCTAATGATAAACTCAGCTATGGTAGAATTTACAAGTGCGCAAAAGAAAGGGACAAATAAGAAAATAGAATCATACAATATGACCCAATTGAATTTTTTATAAATCACAATAATTATTCGTTTTATAATTAGAATTTTGAGATTAAAATTTACTTAAATATTTGAATGATACATAAAAAAATTGATTAACTTTCGAAATGTCAACTATATTACTTACAAAAGGAAGGAAGTAACAATTTATGGCCGGTGAAAATTTTGGTTGACATATCGAAATTTGAACTGAATCACATAAATTGAGACAAAATTATAATTATTATGGTAAATAATTAAAAAAAAAAAAAACAGAAGGAGCTACAAAAGGTTATATTTTGTGTTAATAGTGTTATTGATGATATTTTACTAAACATATTTATAATAACTATCAATATTCTATCACTTAATTGTGTATGTTGTACTAAAGCTTCTTTAATTACTTCATATATGACAATATATAATTTTAATGGTAGGTTATGTATGATATATATTTTATAATGGAAAGAAATTTAAACCGTACATTGAAAGATACATATAAAAAAAAAGATGCATTAAAGGATTTAAATCATAGTTATTAACCTTATAAGTAATTTTAATTTCTGTGTTTGCCCTTGTTAAGAAGACGTGCCTTTAATCATATAGGCTTAGTTTCATGAATGGTCATTTACTTTAATTTTATTTTACAACAAGTTATTAAACTACTTTTATAACCAAAAAAAAGAAGCTAAAAAGGAATTTTAAATGTAATGCATAATTGAATTTTAAAATGTGCTATAAATACTTAGTAATTTTGATCCAATAAAGTAAAAATTAAGCAACCATTTTATGAATTCAACTGTCTTTCATTATGATGTTGGATTTGGTTTTTTTTCTTCATGATGATCAAAGAAAAGTGACATATTATTTTTGATAAACAAAGCATTGCCCCACTTTTATTTTATTTATACTAATAATACTAATTATTATAACAATTAAAATAGAAAAGCAAATCTCTTAGCACTCATTTTACGTTTGTTTCATAAACTTATCCATTGTTGTAATATTTTGACTAAGGAAATCTCTAAGTAGCAACACTATGATCAATTAATAGAACATTCTTTACAATTTTGACCCAAAAAAAGATAGAATATTTTTATCTAGAAGGATTCAACACGGTGTGAAATTTTCAAAGATATTTGATGCAAAATGCAATTTGTTCTCCTTTCATTTTTCTTAGATTGTCATTTAATTTATTGATAAGTAGTAATCAATATGCTAATTATTCAAAAAAAATAAAATCGAAGCAACTTCATTCAAAGTCTTGAAAAGGTTAAACTAAACATATACTTAATGAACTTAGATTTTATTTTAGTCGCAACACTCTCTATTATTATAATAAATATAAAATATATTTAAAAAAGGATTTTTCTCACTCTAAAATATATTCTTAAAATAATTATCATTTTGTATATTAAAGTAAGTCCAACTCTATACACAATAAACATAATGAAATTTTGTCCTAACAGCACATATGTGAACTAATTATCTTGTGAGTTTTAATTGTACCTATTTTAAAGTTAGTCCCTTAAAATCTTGCATATTTTCTTCCTAAAAACGATGGTCTTTTCAAATAAGCTAATCTTGGATTTTATGTATGCATTCATTTGGTGCAAAGTTCGTATTATAAACCATGCCCTTTTTTTTTCTTTTTAGGGATTCTTTGGCCTAAGATTGAATTTAACCACAGAAACATGATAAATGAGAATTCATATAGTCGATCGAGCTCAATCGAAGGCATTATTAAAAAAAAGGTCATTATAAATTTTTAAATAAATTGTAGTAACAAGGACAAAGAGCATATCAATTGTAAAATCATGTAATAATGTATGTAAATCTAGAAGACTCATTTTTGGTCCCTATTGCACATGGATCTCAACAACTTGAGCAACATTCTAGCCTTATTTTTGGTCCTTTCACTACATTGGCTTTGAAGTAGTAACAACAACTTAGTCAAAATCCCACAACAAATAGCTTCTTCCCTAGCATTCATGAAATCTTGACACAAAATGATTAAACAATTCATTGCACTTTCACTTGCTTCATTATCTGATGAAACTCTAAATACCATCTTCACAATTTCACTAATACCATTTGGATGATCCAAAACATCCTCTTTTGCACTTTCTACAACTAGCAATGTCTCAATTGTTTTCATTGCCATAACAAGTCCAAACAAGCTTCTATATTCACACTTTGGAGCATTCACAATATATGTTATCAATGCCTTTACTACATTTTCTTTTGCTATAACTTCACAATTCTGTTCAACAGAAGATAATGCTGAGAGAGCCTTGATTGATTCTTCATAACCATCTAGTTTGTTCTCAATAAGATGAACAAGTTCTTGAACAAGAATCTTGGATTTACCCAACATAACTAAAAGTTCCTTTGATTGCAAGGATGATGAAATTGCCACTATGTAATGACACAAACTTTTCTTGATCATAAAACTCCCTTTCTTGAACAGAATCAAGAAGTTTGTAAACTTTGATTCATCTTGTTTAAGCATGTTGAGTGTTCCCAAGTCACTAAATGGCAACAACTTCAATCCACAAACTAATGCTTGCTCCACAAACATGATATTTCCTTCAAAGTTCAAACTTTCATCAGCATTTTCCAAGGCTAATTCAAGAATCATTTGGAAGAAATCTAGTTGAATCAGGGGACAGTTTTCGAAAGGCAGATCTTTTGATAAAGCAATAACTTTCTCTAATGCTTCAACTTTTGCTTCCAATGTAGACTCCTTTGACTGAAGATTGTGTTTAAGAACAACAAATGAATCATCAACTGTTTGAAAGTAATCAAGATCATAACCATGACTGCAGTTTATTTGAAGCCATCGATCGATCAAATGGCGAAGAGTGGTGTTTGGTACAATAGTAGAGTCATGAAGCTTCTGCATTGTAACAGGACAAGTTGAATTCCCACAAGATAACCATTTTTCAATACTGGACCTATCATATGTTTGGCCTGTGCATAAAGTAACTGGATCTTTAAACAAATCTAAACTTATTGGACATCTAAACAAGATAGGAATTCCAATTTCAGGCTGCTTCATTAGAATCAACTATATACTTATAGGATTCAAGTAAAAATGAAATCTTTGAAGTGGGATTTTAGTTTTATCTCCAAAGGGTGTGTGTATACATGACAAGAAAGTTGAAACATTGAGTTTTCACTAATTGAAAGAACAAGCCAAGAAAGATCAAAACTTTTCTTGAACAAGTGAGATTATAAAACCAATCTTCATACATAAACTAGTACAATATGTGATATGTCTAGTCTATTTGTAGATTCAAAGGGTGTGTGTAGAAATGACAAAAGAGTTAGAACATTGAATTTTCACTAGTTGAAAGGATAAGCTAAGCAAAAAAGATGAAAACTTTTCTTGAACATGTGAGATTAGAAGATGAATCTTCATAAACTAGAACAATATGTGATATGTCTAGTCTATTTGTAGATTCAAACGGTGTGTGTAGAAGTGACAAGAGAGTTGGAACATTGAGTTTTCACTAGTTGAAAGGATAAACTAAGCAAAGAAAGATGAAAACTTTTCTTGAACATGTGAGATTAGAAGATCAATCTATATAAACTAGTAGAATATGTATAGTCTATTTGTAGATTGAAGAAAGTTGAAAAATTTTATAGTGGAAGAGTAGGCCAAAAGATTGTGAGTTTGAAGTGGAACAAAGCACATGAAATGAGGAGTAATAGGCCAAAAGTGAGTGGGAAAAATGATAAGAGAACAAAGAGATACAAAACACAAGAGTTGGCCAAAAAAAGAGTAGGCCTTATCTAAGTAAAATAAAGCAAAATAAAGATTGGTAGATTGCAACTAATAGTATAGAATAATTTTAGTAATAGAGAGTAAGTAGGACCATTTGTTTTTTTTTTTTTTTTATAAATAGATCAACACTACAGTCAAACTGACCCACTCACTCAATCAAAAGTTCACGTCTTTGAACTTTGAATCCCCTCAAATTATACTTGTTTGAATATGAAAGATGTGACACCTCCTTTACCACAAAACAAAAAAGTATTAATTTTTTATATATATAAAAAAGAATAAACAAAAGGTATCTCTTTGTCTGCATACTCATGGATTATTATTTAATCATTCAGTATCTAAAGCTTAATTCCATTAATTTAAATTTGTGCGGTATAAATTCATTAGAAAAGAAATACAATTTTCTCTTGAAAGTCTCGTACCATTAAAAATATTCATATACTTCATATATATCTTTCTTTTCTTTTCAATTATACTAAACTAATGTATGATCTTATTCATGTAGCTAAAATACTATGTAAATTAATCAACTGCTTACATGAATTTAATTATGTTGTTGTTCTAGAATATTTTGGGCAAAAAGAGTATTTGTAGGTGATAGTCCAAGTGTAGTTCTCTTCTTACTAGTTGGGTATAGAAGAACTAAAAAAACTACTATTAATGAATGCAAAAACGTATAAGATTTTAACTTTGACATTCATGTATCAAAATTAAAATTGAATGTATCCATAATTAATTAATAGGAACAAAAAAGAAGTAATTATGTTATGATAAATAACTACCCTATTTCAGTATATTTTTGACTGGCCAAACAAGGCATATTGTTTTTTCCCTTAGTCAAAATGCAACAACTCCAGCTAATATTGTCCCCTTTATTTTTATTTTTGGCATAACATAAAGTGAGTGGAGTACATGATTCTATTAATTAGTCAAATACAAACATGTGCATATCCTATGATCTCATCTCTCAATCTCTTGTTTTTTTAGTTAGGTATATAAACTCCTAATCAGATTCATGATTTGGACTTTTAGTAAAGATTTACATTTTTTATATAAGTTCTTACATGTTTATATTGTAATATCATAATAATATTTCAATTTTAAATAAGTAAGATCAATTATACAAATTTTCACTTTTTCATTTAA